CTCTGGGACGCCGAGATCGATGAAGTCACTTCCTGGTGTGCGGATGCGCTGGAGGTCGTTGTGGTACTGTACTTCAGTAACTTCTTCGATACGGATCTGGACGCGGCCGCAAGGAAGATGGACTAGCCCGCTTCCATCCTGTACCACGCGATGCTTGGAGAATAGACGGCATCGAGGCGTTCTTCCGGCATTCAGGTCGATCTTCTCGAGTTGCTCGAGGTATCGTCGTAGAAGAAGCTGAATGGAAAAGGCTGCGGCCTGCCATGTTGACGGTCCATCAAGCACCTCACGCATGTCGGTCCGGATCTTGCTTGCATCTGGTGTAGTAGGCATGTTCGGGGGTGGCACAGATGTTACAGTACGATGCGGTCGTCCATCTTTCCAACGATCATCAATGTACTCGATGTCATGAATATCGCCAACCATGTGATGGCTCTTGTCGTACCCTTCGATGATTGATCCTGGTACAATAACCCCAGACATTGTTGACTGAGAGTAGAATAGACCAGCAAGTGTGAACGGCGATCCATCCAGTCTCTTTGGCATATTTTCGAGGCCGTAGCGGTCCAGCATCATCTTATCAATCAACCCCAGCTGATGATACATGTCCTCGCGGATGTTCCAGTGTACGCCTAGAAAAGGGTCGCCACGAAGTTCAACACCGACAGCACGTCGGCCCATGGCTATGGTCCATAGCATGGCCAACATGTTTGTACCTCCAAGGCCAATGGCCACAAAGTCCGCATCTTTGACCCCTATCAGATCCGCCGAGCGGCTGCCGCCTGGAGTTGTGACATTTTGGGTCCGCTCTTGGGCTAGGTACTTGGTTGTCATATAAGAACTCCTATTGATTGAAGCCATGTAGGCAATGGTAAGGGCTCTATGTTGCGAGTTGGTACTGGTAAATTACTGTGGGAAACTTTGCAAGTCTGGAAAAGGAAAGAAAAACTGGCTTTTGAGAGACCATACTGACCAAGATGGATCGCGATCTCAGTATACCACTGGTACTTGGAATCGCAGCTTAAGCCTGTATTGGGGTTTTGACCTTCTCAACCAAGCAAGTGCCGATCCTTCCATGCAAGGTCTTGCAGGGTTCTTTAACGACCTCTCTGTCGGGTTTTTCTGAAATCTGATTCTGTGGTACTTTTATCAGTTCAGCAGAGAGGTCACCCTTATGGCCTCCTGGTTTTCTCATCTGCATGGCTTTATGTGGTTTCAAGACGCGGTAGTGAGGCGAACGCGATGCTGCAGCTCCAGTAAAGTGTGACCACATGTTCGCTCCCTGGGGCTCGCACAAGTAATACAGAACAGACGCGTGACTAACGTCTTCTTTGGATGTAGCGTACTATGTGGCAGCTCAAATCTAACTTATCTGAGGTAGTTTAGTTGAACAAAACAGGAGACCGACCAGTGCGCTGCAGTGTTAATCACATTGATGCCCACATGGGCCCGTAAACACGAGAAGCGAACTATCACAATGTACCGCTTGCTACTCGTAAACATACCCCACGAAACTCAGGCAGCTCTTCTCTTGTTTAGGAACTATGGCCTCGTAGAATTTGAGATCGATTTGATAAACTCTCCGATGATAAGCAAGAATGGATGGCCTGATACTTGGCATATCGTTTGGTTGATGTCGAGAATGGGAACGAGTCAACGTTCGCAGGTGACCAGTAATAAATGGGGGAGAGGCCATTGAGGCGACCAACTAGAATTGCCCATAGACGTGCATTCTCTTGGATTTGTGCACCAGGGGGAGTGGGGAAAGCGGAGAAATCGTAGTGCGCACCAATCCGCGGACGGCAAGACGGCCCGACGCTAGATCAAACACAAACTTGATGACCGCTCACCCCCTACACAGAATAGCATTACCAATCTTATCCAGGCAACACTCCAAAGCTCGAAATGGTGCAGAGAGATGAATGGGCTACCTCGGCTATTTTTCACATGTCCAGGGCCATACCGAACGCCACGAAGCAGCCAATCTCCCATTGGTTCGGGAGCTTTTGGCCGTATCAAAGTGGTTCGACCTCAACTATATATCAATCACGCTCTTATCTGGTCCGGTCACATGATAAAATCAGATACGGCAGCTTCAATGGGAACAATGTTCACCCTCGGGATTGAAGCTGTGATATTCATTCACGGGTTCAGCTAACAAGAACTTCAACAGTCAGTTCAGGTTCAACCCCGCATCTGCGAGGTTGTCCCGAACCTGATAAGGTATCCGGTGTTCACATATCTCGATTCAAACACCCTTTTCTGCAGTTGATACCATTACTGCAGGATTGAGCTAGGAGGAAGAAACAACACCACCCAATGGAGAAACTTACATATATTAATCCTTAGCATAACTTCAAGAGCTCTCGATGCTTTTCAGAAAGGAAGACTGGGATCTTGATGTAGAGAGGCTATCAGGGTGGATGCTACAATTGCTGGATCACAAAAACGATTCGCGGAGCCCTCATGATGAAGTCACCGATGCTGAGCTGAACCAAAGATTGTGGATGGCGCCACCCGCGACATCAATACCAGATGTTGTTCCATGTTAAGTTGTGAACCCTGAAAGTGATGTTACCAATCGACCGGAAGATACCACGCCGGAACCACGAGCTCAATAGGACCCTACAGTTTATCAAGACCCCGAGTTCGAGTAGTGTACATTCTCGTTGGCAGAGCATAGTATCTGAGAAAGGATCAGGGAATGCCTCGGGTCTGGGTTTTCCACCGGAAGAAAAATGGTGACGTAAATTTCAATGAGACCCTTGGCCAGCTGAAATCACAATAGTGCAAGTGTGGCACCCCCAACTCGACCCCGACCAAGGTACTCTCATCAACGATCATATATCTCAGCACAGGAGCTGAGGTCGAATTTCTCTACAAAATCCCCACGATGGGTTCTCTTAACCATGACAGCATCTCCCCTTCACTTCTTTCCCTTATACACCTCACCGTCAATTAACATGTCGTACACGTTGGGCGACACTGTCAATGTGAGGAACGTGATTGTCGCGATCGCGGTGTTGAGCTTCTTCTTGTATAGACTATGGGAAAAGCGAGTTCAAAGAAAGGCAAAGAGCATATGATCATTTCTCTGATTCGACTGCTGACATGTCAAAGGAACAAGATGCATTCGGAAAAGGACAGGGCTGCGAACCTGTGCCTAAATTAGTCACTAAATGGCCCCTAGGCGTGGATCTTCTTTTCAAGGCTGCATGCCATGTCAAGGATCAAACACTGATGCAATTCTTTACCGACATTGTGGAGTCGAGTGGTCATACACATGAGCAGCGAACGCGTAAGTTGGCAACACAAACTTTTGGGAACAGCGCTAATGATTGCAAGTCGGTAAGGTAACTTACAATACGGTCGAGCCTAAGAATATCGAGGCAATTCTTGCAACTCAGTTCGACAGTCAGTCTGCAGGCTACATGTTCTAAACCCTTTGATTAACAGAATTGCAGACTTTGGGGTTGGGAAACGCTTCGACAATTTTTATCCTCTGATGGGAAGTAGTATCTTCACTCAAGACGGAGCAGAGTGGAAGCACTCGCGTATAATGCTCCGCCCCCAATTAGCAGCGAACCTCCAAAAGAACTATGATGCAGTCGAAAGCGCAGTTAACAAACTCATCAAGGCTATCCCCGATGATACGGTCGTGGATTTGCTGCCCCTTTTCTACGACCTAGCCCTCAATACCACATTGTTCCTCCTATTCGGAAGCACAATGGGCTATTCGCAGAACGGTGACAACCCAGGTGAAGGCGAAGAATTTGCGGAAGCCTTCCTCGTAGCACAGGAATTTCTGGCTAATCGTGGCCGCATGGGAGATTACTACTGGCTTGCCAATTCGATGAAATTCCAGCGTGCCTGCAAAACCACTCATCGCTTCATCGACCGGGGCATTGAAGCAGCACTCAAGGACGCAAAGGACGAGGGTACCGGCAAGAACGACAGCTTCTGCGGTGCTCTCAGCCGCAAAACCTCGGACAGAAAAGCCATCCGCGCACAATGCCTCGCCGTCCTCTTAGCGGGTAGAGACACCACCGCCTGCACTCTCTCCTGGGCATTCCACCTCTTGGTGCGCCACCCGCGAGTCTATGAAAAGCTACGCGCAGAAATCAACGCAACAATCGGTCTCGGCAAAGACGCGCCGCATCCAACTCGCTCCGTAATGAAGCGCATGCCGTATCTCGACTCAGTCTTCAAAGAAGTCCTTCGCCTCTACCCCATCGCCCCCGTCAACGGCCGCACCGCAAACTGCACAACCACACTCCCCGTCGGCGGCGGTCCCACAGGCCAATCCCCCTTCCTCGTCCGCAAAGGCGAGATGATCGGATACTCCGTGTACGTCATGCACCGCCGCAAAGACCTCTATGGCGAAGACGCCCACGAGTTCCGGCCTGAGCGCTGGGAAGACGGGTCCCTATTCCGCAGGATAGGCTATGGCTACTTGCCTTTTAACGGGGGACCCAGGGTGTGCTTGGGCCAGGATTATGCGCAGCTTGAGATTTCGTATACGGTTGTGAGGATGATTCAGAATTTCCCTAATATGAAGTTGCCGGTGGATGAGACGGTTGTGCCGATTGGTATGGAGAAGCAGGCGCTTACGCTGGTGCTTGCGCCGGGGGATGGGGCTCGGGTTCATATGCGCTCGTAGGGGAGTGAGGTGTAGTTAAGGTTCTAGATAGGTCTTAATAAGAATGTAATGTGTAGACAGGTGGTTCTCTGTAGGAGGAATGTGCTAGCTAATCAATCGGCTATTGATGTTACCGGTAATTGTTCGTGATTTGACGTATTCTGGACTGTTAGCTCGAATGAAGAGGCACTGAGAAAGTATGATCCACACGATGAAAATCCGCACTCTGATCAATTAGATCCGATAATTCATTCTTTGATTTCTTCTCTTTCTCTCTCGACCATTCCAAGCCTACAAAACCTATCCTCACATCTCACCCTCCCTACCCCTCCTTCTTCCAAACGCGCATTTTCATCGTCGTTTAACCTAAAAAAAGTATCAACAAATCAGCGCCGCGAACCCTACAACTTCGCGCTCGTACCGTTGTAAGCAATGCACTCAATCTCGACTGGGACACCCTTTGGCAGCTGCTTAACCGCGACACAGCTGCGCGCAGGCTTGTGCGAGAAGTATTGTTCGAAGACGCCGTTCATTTCGGCGAAGTGGGCCATGTCGTCGAGGAAAACGTTGACCTAGATTTTCCCCTACCCGTCAGTAACACTATCCCTCCATAGCTAATACAGCGAGTATGTTGTAGAACCAAGCGTAGTTGCCTGTGTTTATGCTGAGAAGTAATATGGGAGTTCAAGACGCACCTTGACGACACGGTCCAGACCGACACCTGCCTCGGTGAGAATGCCCTTGATGTTCTCACAGCACATCTTGGTCTTGTCTGCGATGCTGCCTTCGATCAGGTTGCCCTTTGTGTCTGCAGGGATCTGGCCTGAGACGAAGATGCTGGGGCCGGCGATGATGGCTTGGGACTAATGAGGATATTGTGGTTAGGGCTCGTCGGATGTAAAGGTGCTTTGAAGTTCGATCGTAAGGTAGGAAGAACATACATAAGGTCCCGCAGCTGTGTTATGTTGTTAGCACTCACTCGCAACATGGATGTGTCGAGAACAAATGGGGAGGACGTACGAGGGCAGGCATTGGCAGTGGACACTTTCTTGATTTCCGACATTTTTCTTCGTTGTTCAGTCGCAATGGTTTGGAGTCCAATTGGTAATCTCGTTATCGAAGGAGTGAAGGTAGTAGTAGTAGTGGTAGCTCTCTCAACACACAAAAGTCTTGTAGTAGTAAAGAGTCGTTGAGAAGAGACAATGCGTTGCATGGGACACTTTATCTATGTCTGGAAAAACGAGGCTATTGTCGGGAAATCCGCTATGATAAGTGACTACTTGGACAGGGCCGACCGGGCGCCAAACCCCCGCTTGATAATGACCAGAGGGGCACCCAGTTGGCATTACATCAGCTGGAAGCGGTGATGATGAGGGGCATCCGCACGGTTGCTGGCGGCCGGCATCGGAGCCAATGAGCGTCGCCCCCACCTTCCCGTTTTGGGTGCTAGCGCCTGCAAGCACGCCAGCGTAGAGGGGTAAGTGTAAGATTTTTTGGTCTGGTCGGGATTTTCGCGACGGGAAAAGCAGTGTAGAACGGTTATACGATGAGCAGCACTTACGTGGCAGGTGAAGAGTACGCTAAGTAGAGTGTATATTTGATAAGATACGTGTAGTGGGTATAAGTAGAACATTGTCAAAAAGGTGCCTGCCAGGATGTGGTTCGTATGCTTCCTCTAATCCTTTCACGAAAAGACATATCTTTGTTGCCGTGTACTCTGGATAAACATCCAAAACCAAATAAACACCACCCAAATGCGATGATTGCTGTCTATGGCCTGTCATGTGTTTTGTACCACCTCGGATCCAATGTGCTAGAATCGAATTTAAAATCGAGAGCTGAGCTCGGGACCTGGAATGGCCTCTCTACTGCTCAGACTTTGCAAGGAGTGTGTATACTGGTGCGTTGAGCTTATCACGGCCCTTTAGGAAAGCGACCTCGTCAAGGAAGAGGTATCCAACAACTGTTCCGCCAAGCTTCGTAACGAGGGATCCCGCAGCAACTGCAGAGCCGCCTACATCTCAATTAGCGTCGATGCCATCACAAAAGGCTCGTGCTGAGCCTAGCAGTCTTTACATACCAGTCGCAATGATGTCGTCAACAACGAGCACCTTCTGGCCGCTCTTTACGGCATCGGTCTGCATCTGAAAGAAATCGCTTCCATACTCTTTCTCGTATTCCGCGGTCTCGCAGGGACCGGGCAGCTTTCCCTTCTTGCGCACTGGCACAAAGCTGGCGCCGATTCTCAGCGCCAGACTGGGGCCAAACAAGAATCCGCGCGCATCCAGTCCGACAACCACATCGGGCTTGCCGGATGCGCTGAAGTGCTGTTCGACAGCGAGTTCCAGTCCGCGTACCAGGCTCTCGTGTAGCTGTGGGTTTGCGAACAAGGGCATAATATCTTCGAAGAGGACGCCCGGCTGGGGAAAGTCTGGGAATTGGCGCAATGACGACTTCAGCGTGCTTTTAAGACTGGCGAGTTCGGCGGCGGCGGAGGAACCGGAGGTGGAGAGTCCGCCTTGGGAGGTGCCATTGTTGGTGGACTCGACGTGGGAGTTGGCGGGGGCAGTGGTGTTGACCGAGTTGGATTGGGCGGCGGCGGAGTCGTGGGGAGCAGACATTATGAAGGAAGGGGGAGGGGGTCCCAGAGAGATAAGTAGTAATGGCTGGGTCTAGTCTGGGGAGGGGGGTGGTGAGATAGGGCTAGGTAGAGGCTGCCGATTAGAGGGGGGGACGAGTGGTCAAGGCTGGGGGGCTGGCTGGCTGGCTTGCTGCCATGTAATGCTGTCAGCTTCGGGAGACAGGACAAGGTGCGCAACGAGTACCCAGCGCCAAAGACAGTCTGTCGACTCTGAGTCGAAGCAGGAAAAAAAAAGTTAGCCCTGGTGCAAAGCGGTCCGGCGTATACCAGCACACAGGCCCATGGCGAATAGAAGGGCGGGGTGGGCGTAGTGGCGCCCCACCCGGTCTAGCCCGTTGCGCCGAGTAGGTAGCACACGGTTTCAGTCGTGCCGGCGCCTGTACACCACCACCACCACGACGCCTCTCGCCAGTGCCCGCTCCAGCAGTACTTTACAGCAGTCCTCCCTGCCTGCATTGGCGTCTTGGGGTGTGTCTCGAATCACGCCTGCGGCCCACCTGTACATACTTTGCATGTCGACGTCAGGATACATGGACGACCGGGGGAGCTAGGAGTCATATCGAGCGCCAAAGAGGGCTTGCCTCAACAGATTCTTTGCTCCCTCGACAGCCACGCCTCAAGCCGCCTTGGTCGTCGTCCATCTGGTTGCGCGCCCTCGACAAGCACGACAAGACGGCAAGCACGACAAGCACGACAAGCACGACGCGCCTCCCCTTTTTTTTCTTTACTCTTCCTAGGTTGACATGTCATCCATTGCATGATACGTGGGCCTCACGTCACTGCCAGCTTTCTTCACGTCGAGCAAGGCATGGGCCAAACCATATTCCCCACGTACTCGTAACAGCCTGTATGGTGTGTGAGTGTGTGTGGCTAATGCGGCCTACCCTACGGCGGTGAGACGTTCTAGAAGGTCGAGCGGGAAGCATGGGACAGGTGTGCGCTTACTTTGCAACCCTTCCACTCATCACCATGCTAGCACATCACCTCTTCCCAGCAAACCAACTCTTGGTGAACCAGTAGCCTTGACCCTCACAGCCAGCCGGGTAATCTTCGTCTGACTAAGCGGCTTAGCTTTCGAGCACGTTGGCCTCATCGGAACAATGCTCTCGGCTTGGGAGCCACTGATAGTTTGATTTACGCGTCCTCGCAGCTCGCAGGCCCTTTGTCCCCACAACAAGTCGTGGCTTGCATATGCAACTGCACCCCGTCCAAAACAGTCGCCCCGTATTCTGCTGTACCGCAGCTTCCTTATTCTCAACGTTCCAAGGTTCGCCGGCACACTTGTCATGCACTCGTTCATTGCGCCATCGACCAACTGATATTATCATGACACATTGAAGCAGTCTCTGCGCTTGTTCCTGAGACAAAGACGCGTGTCACCTAGCAAACAACTACCATGGCAATAACACGGGTTTATGGATCAAAACATTGCTCTAGAAGCTCAGGAAAAGGTGGGTATATAGTACTGTTTAATATGCCGCTAAATCTGCGGATCCGTCCCATGCCAGACTAGAAGGAACCACCACTACACACTCAAACCCACGACTTTTGTTCTCTACCCGTTCGCAATAGCCAAAGGTAACAGCATTGATTTAACCCCAGACCTCCATGTTGTTCACAATGCACTCCTCATCAGTCCTCTTCTTCAGCGACCCAACCACATAGACCTTCTCGCCATACTCTTGCAATCGATCCATGGTAGTTCTGACGTCCTCTTGTTTCACAACAAGCACCATGCCGAGACCCGTGTTGAAGGTTCTCGCAAATTCCGTATGCTCCATCCGGCCCGCTTTCTTCAACCACTTGAAGACGTCTAGAAGGGGCCATGATTTCGCATCCAGTTCGGCCGTTAGGGTCTTCGGCAACATGCGCGGGATATTCTCAAGCAGGCCGCCACCCGTAATGTGGGCCATACCCTTAATCAAGCCCCGCCGGGCTACAGCTAGCAGCGGCTTGACGTAGATCTTGGTTGGTGTCAGGAGAGCGGTTCCTAGATTCTCACCGGAGCTCCAAGGACAAGTGTCCAGGTATGACATGCCCTGCGCCTCAACGATCCTTCGCACAAGCGAAAAGCCGTTCGAGTGGACTCCACTTGATGCAAGACCCAAGAGCACGTCACCCTCGCCCATGGAAGCTGTGTCCGGCAATATCGTTGCGCCCTGCTTGATGGCGCCAATGGCTGCTCCACCTGCGTCATATTCACCCTTTTGATAGATACCAGGCATCTCTGCAGTCTCACCACCCACAAGAGCGCACGCTGATTGCCGGCAGCCATTGGCGACGCCCTCGACAAATTTTGCTGCACCCTCGACATCGAGCTTGCTGCAAGCGTAGTAATCGAGGAACATGAGTGGTTCCGCACCCTGTACGACAAGATCATTGACGTTCATGGCAACAAGGTCGATTCCAACCGTATCATGCTTGCCCATTTCAAAAGCAATCTTGACCTTTGTGCCGATTCCATCGATGGCACCCACAAGAATCGGGGCCTCTTTGTATCCAGCCGCCTGCAGATCGAGCAGCCCGCCAAATCCACCAATCTTGCCATCCGCTCCAGGTCGCTTTGTGCTGGCAGTCAGTGCCTTGATCTGCTTGACGAGCTCATTTCCTGCATCGATGCTGACACCAGAGGATGCATATGTCAATGCCTCGCCGGCTGGCTGTGGTGTCTTGGTAGGACGAGTGACGACAGTGCCCTCTTCTGCTATCTCAAGGAGCTTCCAATCGCACGCTATGCCCTCTTTTTTGAACTCTTGCAAAAGATGCTCGGCAATCTTGTCAAAGTTTTCTGTTGCAAGAGCCAGTATCGTCGGGCCAGCACCTGAGAGGCAGATGCCCAACAGTCCGGGATGCGATTGCGGCGTGACAGATTGGAGGATCTGGGTAAGTCCAGGGATCAAGCCACTCCGGTATGGCTGGTGGAGCTTGTCTTGCATGGCTGTGTAGATCATGTCAGGGTCAGGTGTGGCTTGACCGAGGGCAGTCGTCAAGACAGCCAGGCGCTGCATGTTGAAGATGGCATCTTTTCTTGAATAGGAATCCGGCAATACGGCGCGTGCCTTTGCCGTGGACACTTCGAATTGTGGAACTATGCATACACACTTGATGGCGGGCGACCAGTTGAACTTTGTGTAGTGTCCGATGTTCAGAGGAGGCTCGGGCGGGCGGAGACCGGTATCTATGCCTCCCGCAGGCTGGGGCAAGACTTCGCTAAGCGGGATCTCAAGGCGCTCCGTGTCTTCGGGCGAGAGTTCATTTAAATAAGTACCGACAAAACCTCCATAGAGCGCTGCCGCGACGTTATCGGGGTGTCGCTCTTCCATCAGGCAATAGTCGAGCATGCGCGCCCTTGACAGATTGAGATTGCCCACTTCGTTGGCCAAATGCACACCTGCCACAATGGCTGCCGCTGAGGAACCCAGGCCTCGCCCTAGGGGTATGGGGTTCTTGACATGTACGTGTGTCTCGGAGGGAAAGTCGCGGACGCCATGGCAACGGAGGACGTATACGGCTGTTCGTGTGATGAGATTGTCCTGCGCATTGAGGGGGACATCTTCAGCGCCTACGCCTTCATATGTTACTCTGCAATTGAGCGCATGTTCAGACTTGTCTTTTTTGGTGACGGTGACCTCGAGTTCGAGGTAAAGGTTGAGCGCAAGACCGATAACGTCGAAGCCGGGGCCAATGTTGGCTGACGAGCAGGGCACCTTGATCAAAGTAGTCATTCTGGGCCAGAAAGCGCCTGAGGCTTGACGTGAATTTCTTGGATGAGCCACGCAAAAAAGTTGGGCTCACACCTGAGAGATGAAAAAGATGGCGCGGGGCTCCGACGCCGACGCCGACGCCGGCCGCGCGGGGTACCTCCGGCTGCGCACCGCCACGCTCACCTCCAGCCTCACCTCATGTGTGGGCCCCCCTTGTAACCACGACCAAGATGTGATATCTAACATCTCCCGCAGCTATCTTGTCTTTGGTTTCTGCCTCGTTGCGATCCCCGGTCTGCAGAGTCTCTTCTAGTCCTAGGCGTCAGCCCTTTTTGCGGCGATCAATGACCCTGTGGCGTCACGCATGGGGCGCCAGGCATCAACATCGACAGCCTGGTCCGACAGGATGCATGCAAAGACGGACAGCGCATTGTGACTGCCTTGCGTTGGAAGTGAATTCGGACTAGCGTCTCCTATTACAGTCATACAGCTGTGACTCTCTGATAGGTCTATGCCATCACAATGTGCAGCAAGGAGGCCTCCAATTGCATAGGCAGCACCGCAGCCTCACCGGTGAGATTAGTTACACTTGGCTTATGCGAAGTACTTCAAGCTGGCCTTGCAGCTTCATCGACCTTTCTCTCACTCACCTTTTCATCAATTGAGCGCCCTTATCGAAGTAAAGGGTTTCCCTGGGCCACCTCATAGCCTTTGTATAAGAAGTCGGTTTAGATCCGCAACCCTCCTACATTCACAACCGTCACTCAAAAAGCAAACGGATCGATGGAGTTGGACAAAGGAACATTCGAGCGCCAGCAATGGAGGCGAGAATCGCGGGATCGAGGTCGCCGAGACCGATCGTCATCAGTCTCATCCACGTCTTCGGGTGATAACGAGCCCAAGCTGAACGGCATCAAACATATTCTGGTCAATGGAAAGAGCAAACCTAATGGGGTGGCCAAAGAGAAGAGCGAAGAGGACGATGAGCCTTGCGAGCCAGGAATGAAGAATGGCCTCAAGCACTTTTATTCTGGCAAAGAAGACAAGAAAGGGCGCTTCCAATGGCAGGAAGAGCTTCCTGAGGATGTGGGCGACCCTGCCGAGAATGAGAAGACCGCAAAATGGGCACTTCTCGTGCGAAATGTCAAAGTCTACAATGACCCGCGCCGCGTGTTGTCCATGCACTCGATTGTCGTGCAGAGTCCACTCCTCAAGAAACTCCTCGTCAAGGTACTGAAAGGCTACCCTGGAGTGACTGTTGGTCTCAATCGTCTTGAGTTTACTGGAAAATTTGAACCCCTCATCCATCGCTGGTAAGATAGTCTCCCGTACTCTTCGGCTTGTTGTAGACTATCCACAAACTAACACCATGTGCAGGACTGAATTGCAGGCCGCCATTGCCAAGCTCAGCGACGAAACAGAAGAGCAGCGCACAACAAAAGCACACGCCGAGCTTCTACAGGGCATCCTAACAAAAGAATTCAAGAACATGATCGACACTTCACAAGATATGAAGAGTAAACGAGTCATGACTTTCGAACATCTTTGGACGCTTTTCCAGCCAGGATCGGTTGTATTCGCCCGACAAGACGGTCAGGAAACAGCACTATCCTTGGTGGAGACGCGCTATGGTCAAGATTGTAATGGTATACCTTGCTTCTGGGCAACTTGCAAGTACGTGGACTGGGATGGCGCCAAGTTTGGAACCAACAAGATCAACTTGTCCATTTCAATCTATACCGGAACACGCGCTATCACTTCCCTTCGCGTTTATCCCATCGAATTTCATCCTGAAGGCGACGCTATCCGCGCTCGCCTTATTGAGCGCGGAGCCAAAACTGAGGAGCTTGCTGGTGCTAATTATCGAGCTTACCAGGGTGTCGCTTGGAGGAAAGGCCAGTTCGGCACAAAGGACAAGTACAATGTCAAAGGTCGGATCGTGATCGATACGTACGGCTGGAATCGCTTTAACCCGACGCACTCAATCTTTGTTGCTCCACTCAACCAGAAAGAGCCTGCCGATTCAGCGTCTCGCTGCAATGGAGACGGATACGATTCTGAGAACGAGCAAGAAGAGGAAGAAGATGACGATCTCGACGGAGACGACAGCGGAATGCCTATCGACGGCGCTTTCGCGGACGAAGACGATGTGGCAAAGCATGCACCCTTGACTCCGGAGCAGAAGCTCATTTGCTCGCCTCTGCTGCGCGGGTACAGTCTAAAGAACAAACTTTGGCTGAACTTTTTCGTCAACTGTGTCAAGGATATCGAATGGCAGACTGATGCATTTGATAGGCTAGTATTGCCAAAGAACCAGAAGGAACTGATTCTGGGCTTCACTGAGTCCCAACGAAAGTTCCGCGACAGCTTCGACGATGTTATTGAAGGCAAGGGTAAGGGCATGATTGTTCTACTATGTGGCCCGCCCGGTGTTGGTAAAACTCTCACCAGCGAGTCGGTTGCCGAAGAGATGAAGGTTCCACTCTATATGATGAGCGCTGGAGATCTCGGCTTCGATCCCCGAAGGCTGGAGGGCAATCTGCAAGACATTCTTGAGATGTGTAGTCGCTGGAACGCCGTTCTTCTGCTCGACGAGGCGGATGTCTTCCTAGAACAGCGTTCGCTTCACGAGCTCGAGCGCAACAAGTTGGTCTCCATCTTCCTTCGCGTCTTGGAGTACTACGAGGGTACGATGTTTCTTACCACCAACCGCGTCCAAACATTCGATCCGGCTTTCCAGTCACGTATCCACATTTCACTTGACTACCCTGGTCTTACTGTGGAATCACGCAAGACTGTATGGAAAAACTTTTTGGACTCTTCGTCGCAAGAACACACCATCTCCAAGTCTCAACTTATGGATCTTGCACGCATGGATCTGAACGGTCGTCAAGTCAAAAACATCCTCAAGATAGCTCGACTACTCGCAAGTCGCAAAGAAGAAAAGCTCAGTTACGACCATATCATCACTACAATGGATGTCACTCAACATCTCCACAACGAGACCCAGTTTAGTGAGCGCACTAAGGGTACTTTGTATGGATGAATGACACTTTGAATGTCATATACCAGTCACAATGGCTATATGTACCTTAGAATGGACAGTTGGGTGGCGCTGACAAATTTTCTGGAGTTTATGTGCGGGTGGAGGTCATTAGATTTCGTTTTCGATGATGGGCAATGGTTCCTGGTTTCAAGTTCTGGTACTCATGTCAAACCCCTTCATTCTCGATGGCTGATTTTAGCTTCACATGACGTGACACCATGGTACAAACTTATTTTACTCATTCACTTTTCCTTATTTACCTTGATTTTGCCAAGATCACTCACTCTTCATACTCTCCATTGAAAAGCTTGTTTCGACTCATCGTTTTCGAAAAAAACAGTGTGGTAGACCTCGCTGATCTTTCTATCTGGCACCATACCATTTGGTTTCAATGCACGACGCTCTTTCGAGCGGGCGAGGCTACTCTACGAGCTCTGAAAGTTCTTAGAGGTTGTTGAAAAGGTGGGCATATAATCAATACAATCAGTCTCACCCTTTCTTAATAACTTCTCACAGCGCTATCTCACGACAGGTTGTTGGATAGTCACATTAGGCCAATCACTTAGTCGTCTGTGCACTCTCTGACATGAGCAACCAAGCTGCACACGGTAGATCTATGCCTGATCAGCCAAACCGCGAAGTTGATGACAAAACTAATCGCGAAACTAACCCTGAGGCGAATGCTTTGCATGGCCAATTCCAAGCCGAGCAATATCAGACTAGTGCGTACTTTGGGCAAGGCGGTAGCGCAGGTACACCCATGGTAAGCTACAGATATATGCAATATTCAGTTGAAATTTATCTGACACTACGCAGTTCGGTCCTAGTGACAACGGAAGTCAGCCCGCGTATTACCCAGATCCTAGAGCGTCCATGATGCCCAGCGTACACAATGTACATTCGCAGGAGCAAGATCTATCCCGGGTACCTTCATGAGCTAGATCACATGTTTTCAAGCAAACAAGACTGACAGAAGGCTAGGGAAGCAATGGAATGTTCTCCATTCCTATCCAGAACTCCTTTTCACCGGATATACACTACGGGCTCCCATATCCTCTGTCGAACCAAAATACATTCATACATACACCTGGGCTCAATCCCAACACACCATCGGGTTTTGCCCAGTACTCGCCATCTATGAACCCAGGATATCCAGATCCCACAACCGGGCCACCCTTGAGCAAACCATGGCCTCAGTCTGCGTCACCGCCCTCCCAGCCGTCCGTCCCATTCTGGGGCTACCAATTCCAAAACTTCGGGCAAGTGAACGCATACCTGAACGAAGTATGCTGGTTCCCCTCCATGGACCGCTACGGCTTCCCGCAAACTGGCGAACAATACAAATTCCACCTTGAAAGGATCTGCATCGCTCTCCGCAATATCTCTCAAGTCTGGGACGTACAAAGCGCACCCTGGCAGTTCGGAAAATTCATTCCAAAAGGCGAATGGACGGATCCCCGCGACATCGAGGCTATAGCACACACCGTCGTGTACACGACAATGCGCATACACGTCTCGGGCGTGACCGACTTTGCCCAGCGACGCTCCATCGACCTCATATCGCTCAACAGCGAAGACATAGACTTCACCTTCCCCCAACGCATCCACTTCGTCGCGTGTCTACTGAGCCACTCCAAAGCCATCGCAGCGGAAGTCATGGCAAGAGTGAATATAGAAAAGTACGTTGCGCTACCCATCACATGCTTGCGCTCGTTCCACCCCTTCAACACCAAATGGCTCGAGGTGTCGCCGGAGGAAAAGAGGGGCTGGACAGAAGTCAAACCCTATCTGGGGACCGGGTTCACGCATCCGACGCCAGAGGTTCGCGAGCAGTTGACGGCTATTTCGCTGGCGCGGTATCAGCAGGCGTATGCTGCGAGGCAGGCGCGCGAGGCGAGTGCTGCTGCGCTGGTGATTGCGAATCAAAAGATGGTACAACCACCTGCGCAGCATGATGCAGGTGGGCACCGTAGGTATTCGACGGCTGCAAGTCCGGAGGCTCAGGATAGTCCTATGGGGGGTGGCCAGGCACGCGGACAACCGCCTACTCGCCTTGCGCTGTCGGGGAGTAACGAGCATTTGCGAAATGTTGCGAGATATCGGGCTCAGAGCTTTGGTGATGGAGGACATCACTCTCCGGATTTGCCGGACATGCAATAGGCATGTTTTGCTTTTGGTTCTGATTGAAATTTCTGAATTGATAGCATTGAGGTATGATCGCTTACTGGTCCCTCTTTATTGCGGTTGCATATATGAACTTGGCGGCGCTGGGTAAACTGGGGCTACTGCCATATACGTATATACAACAAAGCGTTTCCTTATACATACTTAACATCATTGCCCATTTGCATGACAATTCGCCTGTGAGCTAACCTTTATACGGAGCGTCCAATAGCGTAAAGTATTTATATTGGTGTGCGCGAGAACTATAGAAGTCATGGGGGGTGCAAGTCATGTTGCTTCGCTCTTTGTTCTCGTAAGCGATGGCGTCGAAAAGCGGAAGTTCTTTGCAAGGGCATCCCTAGTTGGTACCGGAAAACATCTAGATCTACAAGATCTACCTTCTAGATGCGATAGATCTGTGTGATATTTATCATCAGCGTCGTGAGACTTGATCAAGTGCGTGGTGTCATGCAAGGCGATGAACTCAGTTCCCAATATTAATTGGCTGTGCAGTCCTTCTACGGAAGGGTCAGGGTCCGCTTTACAGATATGGGGTACAACGCCTTTTTGTTGGCTTTCCTGCAAGATTTTCGGGTGAATCTGGGGCTTTGATGGCTGTGGTTATATGAGATCTGGATAACCAATGAGACGGCAGGTAATGGTGAGGTGAATGTGAAAGGCGCCTTCCTCAGTTTTGCCCACCCAAACTATCAGCCCCCCACGGAATCTTGTCGCACCCTCTTATACGCAAATCCTAGACCCCTCGAGTGATTGGAGCATTTCCGCCATTGACTACAATCACATGCAACCAGTGTCGCGTCACTGATACCGAACGATATTGCTTCGTCGTCACTGCGGTCTTGCCCCTCCGTCGTCCTTACCCATCACAAATGACGTCGTCGCAAGGAGCATCAGTTTCTCAGAGGCAAGACATCTCATCCATTACAGTGATGATTCTACAGAATTGTACCTTCCCTAGCTTCATGCCAAACATGGTACCGCATGCTGCAGGCACATCTGAGGCAAATATAGGCGACACGCAGACTCGCTTTCCAGAACCGACACTTCAAGAACATGGCCCGGTTTCTGGAACGGCTCTTGCTCACCCTTATCCTTCTGGTAGCGCGCACTCGTTTCCAGCTCCGTATGGCAGCCCACCGCCTCACCGCATAGAGTCCTTACCCTCACCTGCCATGGCCAACAATGCGCCTGAACTCAGCTCTTGTATGACGGAGGGCAACGAAATCTCCTATGCAAGCAAGATATCAGGTGGTGGCCAACCTGCTCTGCCGCAGCATGTGATAAACCATCCACCAGCTGGGAAGACGATACAGGCCACACCGGTTTCGCCAAAAGCCTCGGGCGTAAAGTCCAGTCGTCTCCCTTCAAGCAATGTTCCGAGAAAAGCACCACTTCGAGGCAATTCGGGCTCGTCAAAATCGCCGTCCCAACACACAAATCGGAAGATTTCGAAGCCCAGACAAACGCAACTGAGTAGCCAACCAGAAAGTTCTACCGATACTGCAACACCAACACAAAAGCGTCGCCGAGTCCCAACTAAAAGATGCCAGAGCATTACAAGACAGAGCCCGGTAGTGCTAATTAAGGTGGGGAGGAGTGGGAAAGGGACGAAGAAAGACGATATTCAAGAGAGCAGGGACGACCAGAAAGAAGAGGGGGGGTCGAGAAAGAAGAGAAAGGGCAATGAGCATGAGAACGATGCCACCAGAACTACTGTGTCAGGCAGGGTACCTGGCGAAGGTAGGAATATAACAAAAAACTTTCTCCAAGGGACAAAAATAGTCAGATCGACCTATGTACCTTCGTCACTCCTTCCAAACCGCACTGTCAGGCGACGCCCAATGTATGACTACGACGTGCCTCTAGAACTAGAAGGCATACGTCAAGCTCTCGGTAAGAACGCATCCTGTCACCTTACTTATACATATATCCAAGCTAACGCATCTTCTTTTCTCCTCACCAGGTCCCGACGACTGGAACGAATACGTCTACCTCATGGAAGCCCTCTGGCTCAACAAAGTCACAGCCCACGAATTCGAACAAGGCGCTAAACCGCTGTTCCAGTTTCACCTCGAGGGCATGCGCAAGAGGATGAATAGCGTTATGGTGGTCAAGATGATAATGCCGCGACTGGAGCAGGTACGGGAGGAACTGATGGCCATGTCGAGTGGTGAAGTGGAGTCAAGGGAAGGGGTGGATTGTGATGGGAGGATGTGAGCTGGGGGGTAGATGCAGGGCTGCCCCGTTGGGGATCGCTGTGTAACCCCGCGCGCTTGCGCGTCCTGGCTAGCGGAACCGAGTTCATCGGAGAAGGTACCTGGATGTACTTGTGTAAGGGTGTTTGGGGGTCGTACTGGGGTTGTTGTCGGGCACTCCGACGTGAGACTCATGGTGGGTGCGATTGTAGCCTTGTGATCATCTTTTCTATTGCAAAGATGGATACGAAAGTGTTTTTTTTTCTTTGGCAATATCTGAGCGGTTCCACGGTGAGACCTTTTGTAATGGGTTCTTTTCACACGATGAAGTTATTCACAAAAGGTAGGCTATCCAGGAATATCGGTTATAGTAACAAAAGAGATTCGAGGCAGATAGACGGAAATCATGATCTCCGTGTTGGACGGACATCGTTTTACTTGGCCATCGAGTAAACTTCCGTGTACCATGTAGTGATGTGTCAAGAAGAAGCTAGCCCAGGGTGATCATGTTAACGAGCTTGGATAAGAATAGAAAGTATCTTTTTTTTTTCATTTCGGTCTCTTCGGATCGAAGTAGTAGTATAGTGACACATAGTGGGTCGTGCATGTGTATGTGTGTGTATACTTAGTAGTAGGCTTTTCCTAGCGCTATTGCTAGACGACACTGAGCTGTAAAGACTCTAGATCGCGCTGCAGTTACTGACTACTGCACCTGCAGATGCGGCTCTTTGTAGTGGTAAAGGGTCTAGAATGTGATTGTAGGAATTCCCTTGTACCGACTACCGATATCACGAGCCGATTGCCCATGTGGGTTCTACGTCAAGTGCCGTGCGATCCGTACAGGTTTCCTCCGAGGAAGGTCGATAAAGTCGACTGAAGGGTCTCGACGCGCTAGTATGAGGAGAACTCTCGAGCGAGACTATCAAGAGGAACTACCAAGAGAAGCTATCGAGGGGCAAAGATCTTGGGACTCAAGCTTATTTGCGGCTATCTGGTAGGAATCGAGATAACTGTGAGATAACGTCCCAGTTGGGTAATCCGGAGGCCGCCGTTGGGACACCGGAGCTGTGGGGTAGTATCGGGGTAGCTAGCACTGGCCAGTACGCAACCTCGAGATCCACTTGAGCAAGGCATCTCGTAAACTCGAAAACCCGTACTAGCCGCGCGGTTAGGCAGAGTCTGGCAGGCGATTCCAGAATGCCCAGTGAATAGCATTTTCTGATGCGACAAGGTAGTATAGTTCTACGTAATAGAATGTTCGCACGTGAGATGCAAAAGGTTGTGCGGTGGTTCCATGCGAGACGGGGCTGCATTACTTGGATCAGCATGTGCGGCCGTCCTGACATGCATAAGTACCGCGGCCGTTGGATGATTAAACGGCCGTATTGTAACCTGTTTTTTCATCGTACGTTTGCATATTGCGAAACACCACTGGGTTGCATTGCCAAGCACGTGAGCAAAAGTCTTTCTCCACATCGCACGACTCGGGCCCAGTCGTCGATGCTGGGAGACGAGCTGGAGAAAAGTTTGGAGGCGTCCCCACAGCAAACGTGCGTGTGCGTCCGTGCAAAGCAACATCTCTCATGTCTATTGGTCCGGAAAAGCAGACGGTCTCAAGCTTTTGCCGTCGTCTTGATTGTTGGGACAAGAGGAATCAAGGTGCCCAAGGCCGTCGCCGCGCGTACGCCATTTCTCTAGCTAGCTCGTCTGGTCGTGGCGGTAAGCGACGCCTCTTTTGCGCTCGTATGGCCATGTGCATCTTTTGCAAGCTCTCCCCTCCATAAGCGCATTATCACCGATAGAGAGGTGGCGGCTGGCGGACGGCGGGTATCGCGCGATACAGTACGATCGTGAGCTGATGTTTCAGAGACGCAAATGGCGGCTAAAGTGCTCGTTGGTATGGCCAAGTACAGTCAAGTACATAATAGATGGAGGTGTGTGATCGGAGTGGTAGCAGTACCCTGGCCTGCTCACTCCCCAGCGGTCGCTAAAGCATGTGCCGAGAAATTAGCGGGTGACGGGTGAGGCAAGCAATGTGATGATCGTGCCGCTAAGCATGTCGTTCCAACAAGCCCTCTCCCGCTCCCGACAAGCCTCAGCCAATATGGCACCAAGCTCGCCGCGAGGGTGCCTTAATTCTTGGACGTGGAGCGAGTGCAGTACCGGACACTGGCATCGCGTGTGGTGCACGTAGAGCATCAGTCGAGATGCCCATGTCCTGTACGGGCATGTGTAAGCTTACCGCAAGTCAAGATGAGGTCGTATTGTGGCGTACCCCAGGTGTGGAGGGAGGCTGGCGGGTGGTAGAGGGGTGAGGTCATGGACGTCGGGAGAGGCGATGATGCATGTGCGTGTGGTGGGCGCCAAGCCGTTGTAGACAAGCGTGTGGCGGCCATTAGCATGCCGAAGCTTACTCCATGGGGTCTTTCTGTGGAGATCCCCATGAACAATAGACCTAGCGTCACTACCACCCCTCATCCGCCTCGTCATGCCATCCCGTTGGTCAGGCTCCCATCAGGCCTCCGGGGTGTTTGCCCTTCACCATATGCAAGTTCCAGTGAATGCCCTTAGCGCATCTCAGCTTTCACTTTTTTTTGAGCCTGTTACATGTGCGGTGTACCGTTGGAGGCTCCACTTTGGGGCCTCCCTCGCACTCTTTCTTGCCTCCTCCAGATATAAGATCGGTTCCCTCGACTCACCCCACCTTTTTTCTTTTCAACTTCTCTCCCTGCACATGTTCGTGTAGCTGGTTCATCCTAATCCGTCATCCTGCACAACTCTACCACCATGGACGGAAAGAACAACGAGCCTGCCGCTCACGTTGAGAAGGAAGCCTCCTCCATCCCGGAGAAGGAGCTAGCCACCGATCCTGAGAAGGAGGCCATTTACACTTCTGGCGCCGAGCACATTGCTGATACCGCCGCTCGTCGCTCGTCTGTTGCTCACAATCTCGTCGAGAACCCATTGACGCGTCAGAGTAGGGAGGAGTGTGTCTACGCTGCTGAGGAATGGGCCAAGAAACATGGCCTGGACGAACACGCCACCCTGTTTGGCAAAGCAGCCCTTGTTGCCCGCGACCCTGAGCGCTTTGAAATGATCACCCAACTCGACGACACCGAGCGAAATGCTCTCATCTACGAGCGCGACCACAAGTGGCACGGTCCCAAGATGCTGTGGTACTCGATCGGTTTGTGTGCTATCGGAGCCGCCACTCAAGGCTGGGATCAAACTGGATCAAACGGCGCCAACTTGTCTTTCCCAGAGGAGTTTGGTCTGCTTGAGCGAGGTGCTTATGGCGAGTGGATTGTCGGTCTCATCAATGCCATCATCTTCCTCACTGCTGGTCTCATTGGCGCTTTCATCGTCGACCCGCTCAACAAGTACCTGGGCCGCAGGGGTGAGATCTTTGTGACTGCCGTCTGTCTCACTGCTACTCCCATTGGCTCTGCTTGCGCACAATCATGGGAAGGACTTTTCGCTGCTCGCTTCATCATGGGTATCGGTATCGGCGCAAAAAATGCTACTGTTCCCATCTACTCTGCTGAGATGGCTCCACATCGAATTCGAGGCGCCCTGGTCATGTTTTGGCAACTTTGGGTCGTCATTGGTGAGAAGAGTTACTTGTTGTTCCCAAATTCAATCGTCTCTAATCATTGTACATAGGTATCTTCCTTGGTTTCTGTGCCAATGTCATTGTCAAAGACACTGGTAGAATCTCATGGCGCCTGCAACTTGGCTCGGCTTTCATTCCTTCTTTCATTCTCATGGTTGGCATCTTCTTTTGCCCGGAGTACGTATCCACTATTTCTCGGCTTTTGTACACGGAAAATGCTTACATATCTTCAGGTCTCCTCGTTGGCTAATGAAGCACGGCAAGGTCGCCAAAGGATTCGAGTCGATGAACAAACTGCGAGCACATCCCATCATCGCCGCACGTGATTACTACTACTCATACGTCATCTACGAGACCGAACTGGCCGTTGCACGTGGAGCTGGCTACTTTGACCGCATGTGGGACTGCTTCCGTGTCCCCAGAATCAGGCGTGCCAACTATGGTGCCTCCACTGTCATGATAGCGCAACAGATGTGCGGCATTAACATAATCAGTTTCTATTCTTCGACAATCTTCAGTCAAGCGGGTTACAGCACGGACCAAGCGTTGTATGCATCTCTCGGTTATGGTGCTATTCAGGTCGTCTTTACCATTCCGACTCTGTTCCTTATCGATACAAAGGGCCGCAGGACCCTTTGCATGTGGGTAAGTTGCGGAATGATTCCCATATTCTTTCATCACTAACTGAATTTCACAGACTTTCCCTTTTATGTGCATCTTCTTGCTAGCAGCCGGTCTATCTCTGCTCCAGCCCGATACCGCCAGCAAAGCCGCACAAGTCGGACCCGTCGTTCTGTTTGTCTACCTCTTCACCATCATGTACTCTCTCGGAGAGGGACCTGTCGCATTCCAGTACTCTGCCGAAGTTTTCCCTACGATCCAGCGTGAGCAGGGAATGGCCTGGGCTGTGTGCATCAACAACACCTTTGCTGGTGTCCTGTCCCTCACCTTCCCCCGTATGGTGTCAGTGATGACACAAACGGGTGCCTTTGGTTTCTACGCTGGTCTCAACCTGATTGCCTGGGGCATGATTTTCTGCTTCGTCCGCGAGACCAAGCAGCTTACCCTCGAAGAATTGGACCAGGTCTTCAGCGTACCTACCAAAACATATCTTCACTACCAGATCTCGGAGCAGGTGCCTTATTTCATCAAGCGCACTCTTCTTCGCCAGAAGATTCCTGAGCCTCCGCCAATCATTGAGAAGAGCTACAACACTGACGCTGTTCCAACAGCTTGAGCTTGTTTTCTCTACACCTGAGAGTAGTGCAAGTTTTGACCACATATTTGAGGTTTTCAATTCTCTGTGTGGAAGTCAAACCATAATATAGTTTCATGTAGTTATACTGCTACTGAAGTAATGTGAATGAATATCCAAGATTAACTTTTTATGGAAATGCAAAGATCATCCGCTTGGCATTCAACTTGATCGTGAATTTTGTATTAGAAAGACATAGACATTGCTAATTCTTTTTCTTTCGCTTTCCATGCCGAGTATCCCCATCATAGACCTAATTTCGCAATCCTACAACGGAAATGTTACTCAAAATGTCTTCTTGTCGTTTACACATACGTCACAAGTATGGTATAAACATACATACCTTTTTTTGACACGCAATTCCAGCAGGCTGGAGTGTGGCCTGCTATCCTTTTCTGAGAAGAAAGAAAGAAAGAAAGAAATTTGTTACGCTATATACTAAACAGGTATAAGCAAATCAAGTCATGTTACCCCAAAAACGATAATATGGGGGTCGTATTGGCTTGCTACGTAGTTATCTCTGAAGTTACTAGATACACTGAAAATTGGTGTAGGAGTCTGAAAAAGATAAGATAAAACAAGAAAGCTTGTTTAGCACTAAAACTTAGAAAGAAAAACTTCTTCCTGCAAAACGCGGTGTCAAAAGGAATTGGTTTGAAGTACTGAAATGTCTTCAGATTTCGGATGTTACTTTTTGGTAGTAGAGGGGAGAGAGATTCGAAAACGGTAATATTACCAACGGGACACTCTCTTCATTCACTTACACGCAGAGGAAAAGTGATGATGTAAGAAAAAATTGTGTACACACGCATGAATTTTGCTATATAAACGGGATATCACAAGCTAAATCCACAAAATCATACGGCAGAGCAAATACGCAATCAAATCTCCACCCTCTCTCCCTCTCGCAGATTCATGCAAAAAACAACCCCAGTTACCATCACACCTTTGCACATCCGGCGTCGTATCACAACGAATCATGCCTCCTCTCCTTTTATAGAAAGATGAAAGCCAGTACTGTTGTCTGAGAAGATAAATCCTAGAGTCGTTTTCCTAGAGAAGTCTTGTTCATCAAGCCGACGATTCTTCACTGTCGCTATCCATGCTGTTTCCACGGTCCATGCTCTGCTGGCTCCTGTTGTCATTAACAGACGTGCTTTCCTTGCGGACACCAGCATTGATTGGAGCAATAGGGGCGGGATTATTCCTATTGTTGTTGCTATTGTTCGCATTGGTATTCATACTGGTGCTGGTATTGATATTCGGGTTGGGATTCGCGTTATTGCTCATGTTGGTATTCACGTGACCGTGCATGTTGGGGGTTGGCGCCGGACCTGCCATATTTCCGTTAACTGGGTTCCCATGCATGTTCATGCCAGGGGCGTGCATGCTGGGTGCGGTCATGCTCGGGTGTACGACGTTCCTGTTCATGGTTACGGGACGCGTGCCGGGGATGGTGTAGCCCATGGGAGGGTCAATCCAGCCGCCGTTCTCGTCAATGGCGGGCCAGTAGCGCTCTGCTAGCCAGCATATCTGCCGGAAGAGTTCTTCGCAGCGGACCATTTCTTCTTTGCCGTCTCGTGTGGTTGTGATGTTGGCTAGCTCGTCGACGAGTGCACGTGTTGCGTCGAGGAACTTGTATGCGGGGGGCGAGGTCCAATTCGGTATGAGGACTTGGTGGAGTGCGGCAATGTGCGAATCACTGATAGATGTGGGTAGGGAGCTGGAAAAGGTTGCTGCATATTGCCAAGCGGCACGATAGGCCTGCGGGAGTGTTAGTTCTGTACGCCTTAATTACTGCATATCGTTACATACATGCTCAGTTCCCCAAAGTACAACCATTCCCTCTAAGAGGGATGCGCTTGAGCTACTGGCACTGACCAAGAGATCCAGTAATCCGCGAGTAACGGGAGTAGGCAAATCGGTGCCCAAAGACAGTCCGTACTTTGTTGCAGTAATCTCAGAAAATTGAATCTCCCGCCGCATGTTATTCAAAGCTGAGATCAAGAGGTCCATGGTACGATACATGGGGTGGAACTGCGAGTTCGGTGTCTGCGGCAACCTAATTTTGGCCAGCAACTGTCCTGCGAAGCGTATGAATCCACGCGCATAGTGCCCGTCTTGCACCAGCCACCATGACAGAGGCTCCGCCGTTAAGGATCCGCAGCCAGCATGCGACAAGAAGGGTCGTTGGGTTGCTTGTCGGAGAGGGCCAGCGCAGACATTGAGTAGATGCGCGGTCAGAGATGGCATGACCGTTGGCACCGGGACAGTTTTCGGCGCAATAATGGGCTGGGTATCGCGGGCGCGCTTGCTGGTATTGGGACCCCGCCGTTGGACCTGTAGGTTTGGATTGGGCTGTTGTCCGCTGAAGATTTGACTGGAGCCAGCGGCCATGTTTGGCTCAGCTGGAGTTCCATCCTGCTGTTGCCGCTGCGCGAGGAGGTGGGCTTGCGCGTCCGACGAGGCAAGGTATGCCTGGCATTCCTGCAAATGTTCGATTTGGCGCGTCGTGTTTTTTGCGCGAACGTAGCCGCAATGACGACAGCGAACCTTGTTGCATTTGGAGGGCGTTTCCTGGTCCTGGAATTCAGCAAAGGCACGCCTGATGTCGGGGTTGGCATGTCTGCCCATGACGGCCTGCCATTGTGGAGGTTAGCTGATGGCGGCGAGTTTGTTTCTTTTGCGACGGACAGGCGGGCAGTAAATGACGAGTCGCATGCGGACGAACAAGGCGATGAGACAGGTTGACACAAGCGAAAGTATGTCTGTATGCGGGACAAGTGGAGCTCACCTCAAATCGGCTGTCGCGAAGGGATGTTTGTACTGTACTGTACGTTACCGCGACGGTGTATTGTAACAATGGCGGTATGGTATCGCCACCCTCCTAAGTTTGCTGAGAAACGCACAGCGTCCTTACCTCAGCGCACCGCTCAACCTGCCCTAGCCTTACACCCGCCCTTTCGTCCGCCCTTATTTCCTCACACACACACATTGTAGCTCAAGCTGCATCACGGGCTGGCGAGAGCTGCATCACATCTGAGTGCATACACGTAGAGACCGCGCCGTCTGCGGATTTGACCCTATTCTAGGGATGTATTTTTCAGTGGCAGGCGCATCGTCGCTGCGGCGGACGTGGGTACTTTAGTAACCACTTCTGCGTTCTGTTCGGTAACTTGGATCGGAAATATATCCGCCGCTCGTTCCGATCGGTCCTGCTCTGGGTAAGCCTCTCCCACTCGGACAAGTCGGCATTGCCGTGTATGCCTACAACACGGCATCCTACATGCTCTACCAAAACCACCTTCATACCGGCAACTTGTAAAGAATGGATGAGAACTATGCAGCAAAGAAACAAGTCAGTTGAACGCTTTCCGATCTTACGAGCGTGGCGAGTCTGCTCTGGCACCGATGCACGTGACGTGTACGTCGGAACGGCACAGCCGATGTGAAAACAGCTCACCACTAGAGTCATGCTACCGGGTCTTTGTCAAGATACCGTCACTACTGCTTCACCAAGCTGCTCACCGACTTGTCGGACACCGTCAACCAGATTCCAACACACCACGTTCTGGCACTACCCCACAAACCCACAAATCCAACCGGGTATCAGGACTCTGCCTTGCCCCAGTGCAGCAACGCCTTTGACTTCTGCATCTCCATCCTCGGTCTACAAGACAACGTGATCAATGACGCCAGGATTGTTCTCCTAGCAATGACCAAGGGAGAGGTATAGTGGTAGGGATAGCGGTAGGCACATCACGGTCGGGTATGCCAAGCACGAGAAACCTCGGCCTAGCATGACATTGCGTGAAAGGGTGCGCGACCGCTAAGCAGGCGTGAAAAGACTTTTGCGGTCACAGGCTCACGGGGATGACGCGCTGCTTGATCTAACCCCGACGGACGGCAGCGCTAGAACAGTTGTCGTGCATCTCCCCGCATATCTTGTACCAAGCTTTGGAGATCTCGCGCCGTCGTACGTTCATTCCCGCCGAACCAGAACATGGCAGAGATGACGGTAGGCAAGCTGCATGTACATGTACGTCCGGTGTTTGGAAATCGGCTCTCGTGACATGCAGGAAGAAGGGGGTCGGCAATTCAGGATGAACAAGGCAAATGGCAAGGCCATGGTGACGTCGCGAAAACACTGCTCATTGTGGCTGTTCTGGCGCAACCAACTACTGCTATGCGGTTCTTTATCCGAGATCCTAGGCGGCTCAGAGGCAAACACCACAAACGCAGTTCACACCCCAATGCGGGAACGATCAGTCCTCACGAGGCGTCTTGAATCAGACAATGCTACCATGCTTACTTAATGCCCCCTCACTGTAAGGACTGGAGGCCTCGCAGATCTTTGGCTCGGTAGAAAGGGTATTTACTGTTTAGGCTCCCGTGCTTTGCAGATCATGAGGGCAAGGAGGCGCCCAAGTGCAAGCAAGGAGAAGACCATGCTTTGTTCTTTTCCCCGGAACGCTGACTGTGGCATGCAGGGAGCGGTGCATGGCATTGCAGCCAGTCCTAACGGTGAATAGGGTCGGTGACATGTCGTCGGTACAAATTCCGAGTTCAAAGTACGGTACCAGAATCTCACGCGACTATGTACAGGACATGCAACTGCTGTAGTGTCGGTTTACTACTATGTACTACTACCACGACTACCACTCGTACACTAGGCCAAGCAGTCCGCCACTCGGCTTCAGCATTGCACCAACGCTCTTGCGCCTTCTTGGAAGCTTCTCGGCAGCTTGACTGTAACCCGTGAGCACCACGTCGGCATCTAAGTGGCTGCAACTCGCCGATCCCCACATCATCGCCATTACACCCGCAGCCAATCAGCACCATGTACCTGAGGTCCACCTACAACCTCTGCCAAGTGTGGCTCCGTCGCCTTCTCTCCTGATTGCACATGACCCCAGATCTTACGCTTCTTGTTAATCATGGCCGAGGCTTACGGGACCCGATTTTTGCGCAGCATGAATCCACGACAGCTTCCTGCATTGGCTAGTCCGACAGTCGGGCGTGGCTTTCTCACGCTTCTTCTTCCAAGCCCTTGCGTCACCACGTCAGTTGCCAACCGAGCTTCTACCTCCGAACGAGTAGCGATGTACACATTGTTCCGGCATGGCCAAGTTTCGATTCGCTGGTTAGACTACGGTTAGTCGCCTCCCAGACGCCTCGGTCGACACCGCTCTGAAGGCGTCTAGGATGGCTATTCCCGCTAGCTAGGATAGTTCTCCACGAAGTGAGGATCACCACTACGTCTCGGAGCAGAACCAAACACATGCCTGCTACGTGAGCGTGACTGGAGAGAAAATTGGGGCAAATTGAGTGCTGTGTTGGCCTATGCCCAAGTCTTGATGTTGTGGTTTAAAGGCAACTTGATTCCCCGGTCTGGAGGCTTTGTTCAACTCGAAACTCAGGCAAACCAAGCAAACAACCTTCTTCTATCCTCATCTGTTACAAGTGCCATCTCTTTGAGCCTTCAAATCGGTTGAGTAACGCAATCTATCTCATCATGGTCGGACGTTGGACTACTGTAGCGGCCATTGGTCTGCTTGCTGTGAGCACAAACGCATCTCCACTGGAATCTGTGAAACGACAATCACAAGGTTACAAAACACCATCATTTGACTTTGGTGGGCAAAAAGTCCGCGGAGTCAACACTGGTGGCTGGTTTGTGCTTGAGCCTTGGATCACTCCCAGCATCTTCGAAGGCAATGGTGCAGTTGACGAGTACACACTTGCTGGAGCAATGGGCAAGGACGCGGCCAAATCCATGCTGCAAAACCACTGGAACACATGGTATACTCAGGACGACTTCAACCAGATGGCTGCCGCCGGTCTCAACATGGTCCGAATTCCAATTGGCTGGTGGAGCGTACTTCCACGTGACGACATGCCATATATTGCTGGAGCCTACGACAAGTTTGGTGAAGCCCTTGACTGGGCCGGAGCTGCAGGTCTCAAGGTCATGATTGATCTCCATGGCGCACCCGAGTCACAGAACGGCTTCGACAACTCGGGCAAGCGCGGCTCGGTTGGCTGGACTCAAGGCGACTCAGTCGACTACACTAAGAAAGTGCTGAACAAGCTCCGCGACGACCATGCATCACACCCTGCTGTCGCCGCTATCCAGCTCCTGAACGAGCCTCTGGGTCCGGCCCTGGATATGAACACTGTCCGACAATTCTACATGGACGGTTGGGGCAACCTCCGAGATTCTGGTGTTGCTGTGACGTTCCATGATGCCTTCCAAGGCGTGACTTCATGGAACCAGTGGGGTAGCGGCATGTGGAACCTGCTTCTCGACACTCACCACTACGAAATCTTCGACAACTCGGCCGTTGCCATGAGCGTCGACGACCATGTCAAGACTGCTTGCGGCTTTGGCGAGCAGATGGCATCGACTGGCAAGTGGACTATCTCCGGAGAGTGGACCGGTGCCATGACCGACTGCACCAAGTGGTTGAACGGCAAGGACAAGGGCGCACGTTACGACGGCACTCTTGACGGAAGCTCCAAGGTCGGCAGCTGCGACGGCAAGTATACCGGTACCGTTGCCAATCTTTCGGAAGACTACAAGACGGGCATGCGACGTTACATTGAGGCACAGCTTGATGGATTCGAGATGGCCAGCGGATGGATTTTCTGGACGTGGAAGACGGAGAGCTCACCTGAGTGGGACATGAAGGCTTTGCTAGCCAACGGCGTCTTCCCACAGCCACTGACCTCGCGAAAGTGTGAGTAACACGACCCCTTGTTTACCTTTGTTTTGACATTGTATGAGCCTGAAGCTGACAGCCACCAGTTCCTGGCCAGTGCAACTAAGCAGTTTGACCTTTCGGTAGCGCGCAGCTAGTTTGCTATTCTCTGCTGTTTGTTGCACGATGATCTGCACACGAAGCCCGCTCCTCGGGCAAGAGAGGATATGTGTGCGAGCTACGCACTGACGAGAGATGACGAGATGACGATGTTACGAATCCCATTCCGCCTCGAAGATACCCCGACGCGTTCGCTCGTTTTCCACCCGGGGCCCCACCTTGCAAGCGCAAGCTTTAAAGTACAGAGTTTACCTGGCACACAGGAATGTCACGGTTTCAGGAGGTGCTTACGAGCAAGTTGTTTCTAGGATATTGGCCCCCCCCCCTTGATTGTGAAGATGGGCCAAGCGAAGAGTAGTCGACGCATTGTACATAGTTATGACATGAATTCAGCAGCCTAGTTAGTCGAATTCTAAAGAAGAATTGAATCCCAACAAGCATACTGAAACGTGAGCAAATGTCCGTGTCGCAGTGTGGAGTCGCAGCATGGTTGGTTTTGGAGGGCGACGACGATTGGAGGAGTAGTCGGAGCGGGCGGTGGACGGCGGTAATTTGCGGGCTTATTGTGGCCAGACAAGCGCAAGGCCTGGTCGTGGGTGGAGGATTGCAATGGGTGGTTATGACGAGTGCAGCTCGCTTGTCAGAGATGAGGATGATGCAAGACGAGGGAAGGGCGCCAAGCGCAATGCTCTCCTTTTTTGGAGGGCGGCCTAAGAGAGGGGCTAGGGGCAGTGCTGGCGGTAGTGTGCATGACTGTTCCTGAGCCTAGTGAAGCTGTCAAATTGCGGGCGGTGAGTGGTCGCGCACAAAGGGGGTTGCGCGCGCATATATCGCACCTAGTATGTATGAATGTTCACAGAGTGTATGTATACAACACACAGACACATGTCGAATTGGAGGCCCACGGCAGATACGATGTCGATAGCGTAGTTGATTCCAAGGCATCCTGGTCGTTGTCGTCGTCGTCGTCGTGAGATGCTTCGCGCGCGTGCGCTCATCTCCCGCAGGTTGGCAGACCATTGTCAACGGGCATGGCGGCGCGGAGCTCCTTTGTTTTCTCTTCAGGCGCCCTTCCGATGCACCACTTCCAGGCCTCAATCTCCAGAAATAGGCCGTGCCAGCAGGGCCAGGCAGCTCACCGGTGCCGCCACCAACCCTCCTGGCTGTCTCCAACCTGACCTGGCTGCAATTTCCCAGGGCGCCGCCATTGGCTCCAGGCCCTCAGATGAGATGCTCTTGCGGCCTAGCGGGTCAAATTCAGGTACCAAGGCAGAGTAGTGCCGATGTGCACAAAGTTCTGTCCAATCTCCTGTCAGCACTAGTCAATGCCTCTATCCCTGCATAGGACCGTTTGGGGGCCGCTCTCAATAAGAATGCGCATGCCGTGCCGCCTCAGTTGCGTTTCTTCTCTTTCCCTCCCATCCTACAGTATATTACTGCAGCCTTCAGAAGACATTCGTTGCTTCAGCCTTTCTTTAAGAAACTCTCCCACAGTCGTCACTCTTTACCCCTTGCTTTTGTAAAGCTACATAATATTCCCATCGATATCCCAGCGATAATCTAATAAACACCCCCCATCAACAATCACAATGTACTCCAAGGCTACCATTATCTCCATCTTCGCTGGCTTCGCCGCCGCCCAGATCCACCCTGCCGTCGGTGACCCAAAGGGTAACCCCATCACCCGTCCTTTGAACGAGGTATGTTTTCTTCCCCCCCTCCCAATTCCACACCTCCGAGACAAACCAAAAATCTGACTCATCACCCCTTAGATTGTGCCCAAGTGCGAGCCCTTCACCATCACCTGGGAGCCCACCACCTTCAACACTGTCTCCGTCCTTCTCCTCAAGGGCCCTTCCACCAACGTTGTCAAGTTCGGACCTTCTCTCGCTGAGGGCATCAAGAACAGCGGCAGCCTGAGCTGGACCCCCGCTGCTGACCTCCCCGTCACCGAGGCCAACCAGGGCTACGGACTCCAGATCATTGACGATGTGACCGGCCAGTACCAGTACAGCACCCAGTTCGGTATCTCCGCCGGCAAGTGCGGTACCGTCTCTTCGTCTGCTGCTCCTTCAGTTGCTCCTTCATCTGCTCCCGCCGCTGGTTACCCTGCCTCGTCCGCCCCTGCTGGCTACCCTGCCGAGTCTGCTCCCGCCGGCTACCCTGCCCACACTCCCGTTGCTCCCTCCTCGGTCGCCCCTGCCGCCTCGGTTGCTCCTTACCCCACCACTCTGGCTTCCGCCCCTGCGGCCGTCGGTACCGGTGGTCTCTACCCCAACGGCACCGTCCCCAAGCCCACTGGCGGTAACAGCACCACTCCTCCTCTCCCCGAGCAGACCACCAACGCCGCTGCTGGTCTCTCTGCTGGTCTTGGCCTCGTCGGTGCTGCCGCCGCCGCCGTTGCCTTCATGCTCTAAGCGTTTTTTCCTTTCGCTTTCTTTTTTTCTCCTTCAATTGTTGCCTCGAGGTTGCTCAAAGATGAGGTTGGCTAGTCGTTTTGTAGAAACTAGCAAAAGGGAAAAATTCTTTGGTTAATGGAATGATCGCTTATACCACTTGTGTTTTATTGGCTTTTTTTTTGAAAGTTCTGGTGGGGACATGGGGATGTCGCTATTGCGTTTGTTGATTTGAACATCACTGCGCTGTTGTGGATATCGATAGAAATATGTATTGGCTTCTGGCTGATTGTCATAAATCTGTGTGTTTTCGTCCTATTTGCATTTGTGAAATACGATCAACAGTTGTCCTCTGAGTGCGCATTTTGTGGAAGTCGGTCGTTTGTTCGAAGATGTGCGGTTAAGCCTCGCATATGCGCAGTTGAGCCTCGTATTTACTTTTGCGTTCGAGCCCCATGACGCTCTTTCCTACAGCTATGACCTTTTTCTTCCACCCTCATGTGCAATCAGCTCAGAATAGAAATTCGGAGAACAAGAAGAAGAAAAGAAAAAAAAACTACTCAAAGTCGTTTCATCGTCTTTCCCCGCATACACACGGTGCTCAGCAAAAAAAAAAAAAAAAAACAAGCGTTGTTGTCGATCTTCCGCTCCAGAAAATCCATGTATTCTATTTCCCACAAAGTTGTGGGAATAAAGGGTATCTAACGTATACTCTTCTCTCCGTGTCTCCGTTTCTTCGTCGCGTAAACTATGCAGAGTACAACTCATGCGGCGTAACACATCTTCTCTTACCGCTACCACGCCAATGCACTCCACCCCCCCTTCCACGCATAACAATGCATAACCATCAACCCATCTAACAACAAAGCAACGCGAGAAAACAAAAAGAGCTCAAAAGATATGGGTATATACGTAAACAACCGAAAACAAAAAAAAAACAACCGTTCTATCCATCAGTTCATGATACTTTACTTGCATGCCTCTTTTCACTTTGCAACCCTCCATATATACATCCACTCCCGTCGCGCAAACCTCTAAAACTCATCACATAATGACACAATGCGTCTTCCTCTTGGCCTTCTTCCCGTTATCTTTTCCCTCTGAATCCGCATTTTGACGACAGTCCATTCTCGAGCCACCACCCCGTGCACTAAGCGACTGTCCTCGAATCTGCTGCGCACTTGCGGCTCGGTGCGAGAAACTCGCGGCATGGTTGGCAAGCGGGGGCGCGCTGGTGGGGAGTTGGTGGGCCGACGCGAACCGCTGGTGGTTACTTGTCGGTGGGATTAGCGGTGGCAGAGCGGCCATTCTCGGGTCCACGGTTGGTCTTTGTGCCGACGGGGAAAAGTTGGGGTAGGGTGCAGGAACAGAAGCGTTTTGTGGAACGGGCCGGCGTTGTATGTGTGGTGCGGAGACGCGGCGGGAGCCTGTGTTTGCTGGGCCGGATGATGGTACCGAAGGAGACGAATAGAGGTCCTGGTTGGCGTGTTCAAAGGCCAGGTTTCTTACTGCACTTTGGTGAAGAGGAGGCCTGTATGTGGATGTCGAAAGCGCTGGATGTGCGGAGTATGACATTTGACTTCCTGACGGGCGCACTGATGAACCTCGTCGACTTTGCAATGGATCCGAAGGGCGTGGCGCGGGATACGTAGACGGATGGATGAGAGTCGGTCTGCGGCCTCTTTCCTGATCCGGAGCAAAGGATGCGTTACTCGAAATGGACTGCTGTCGTTGCTGGTATGGATGCATAGGCACCTGTGAAATGCGTACAGACGTATTCGGTAATGCAGGGACAGGAGGCATGGAAGACATTGGCTGCACACTAGACGCTCGTGGTACTGGAGGCGCATCGGGATGGCTCAAGCTAACGCTTTCTGCCGCCGCCGCCGTAGCTGTGTATGCTGGTGGTGGTGGCACCCAATTATCCGCGTCACTTTCGTGAGGTATCTCTCGGTGTCCATCTGCACGACGATACTCCAGGGGCCTGTACGGCAAGGCCCGTAGATGCCGTCGGTTGGCAGGAGATACAGCTGCCACAGTAGCAGCTCTAGCTAGCGACATCTGCGACCTCGGCTGCTGGTTGTCGTATGGAATTTCGAACATGGCCTGTGCCTCCTCTGGCGTCAATTCTTCAGACTCATCCGTTGTTATTACCGGTCGCGGCGCATGTTGATTCGCAGCAGAAGTATTTGCACGTTGTATAGGCGTGGATCCAATCCTCGAGTTTCTCCGTGATACCGATTCGTTACGGTCCTGAGCCCTACGCTGGGCAATGGTTCTGGTCCGTACCAATTCAACCTCTCGGTCAAAGTCAATCGAACCCTCTGGTAGCATCTCCCCAGGACACAGCGGATCGAGGTCATACTCTGTCTTCAATGGTGTTGGCGGAACACTTCCAGGAGGTCTCGTCTTGTCAAAATCGAGAACGATAAGTACTCCCTTTGATCCCAACGGCGCGCCAAGGACCTCGTTTTCATCAGGCACTGTGCTCGAATTTCCAACAGCCACGAGTCGTTGGACATTGGCATTCAGCCTGACCCATCTCAGCACGCAAATCTCTTGCAACGTCCCCACATCGCCATTTGGTATCGGGACACAAAAGCAGGGTTGAATCGGGGCTTCCTGTTTAGACTTTTCCTTGGGTTGGTACTCCCAGCCGGGGACTTGATAGATCCATATGTTGGTTGTGCCCTGAATACGTAGAGCGACAGCTGCGAGGTCAGCATTGGGCGATACCGCAGGCATGGCATCGTCGACGAATTCCGAACGCGTCCAACGTTGGTGATCGGGAAGAAACATTTTCCTCTGTGTGAAGCGCTGGCAGGCAATGTCGTAGATGCCCCAAGAATCCTCTTCGGCGTTAAAGGCAAATAGTTCGTTGAATGTGCCAGTATCCGCGTCTGGAAGAAGTGTAGCCTGGCGTGCTATTCTTGCCGTCTCTGGAAACAAGACGGAGCCCGTCCATGCGGCTTCGGGTGGTTGTGGTATTGGCTCCCCCTCCTCGGTGAGGGGCCCGTCGTACAAGCCAGGCAGAACAAACAAAGCAGATCCATCCGACTTTCTCGCATATCCCGTGATGAGCAGAGTCCTCCCATCATCTGAGAATTCCAGCGCATCTCCTGCAGGTCCCGAGAGCGTCCGTCGCAAAGTTTCAGGTACTTCAGGACCAATGGCTATGACCTCGATACCGAATTTATTCCCCGTTATGAGTATGCGTGCATCTGGGGAGACGACAATGGAGCTAGCCTCGTGCACCAACATGATGGTCCGCCTCTTCTTGATCTGGTCGGTTCCTTCGCCATGTATCTCGTAGAGGTCGACTTGGGAGGGTCGCGACAGCACCGCCAGGAGAAAGCCATCTTCGGTAACATCAACGGCAATCGGTTTGCGTTTGACTTGCAGCGTGCGGGCCCACAGCCGTGGCAGCTCAAGGGTCTTGATCAGGAACAGATTCGACGCAGAGTAGACGGCCACGAATCCGCCCTTGCGCGAGACGTTGACGTCAAAGCTGTCGGGCAGAGCAGAAGACGAGGCGGTGTTGGAGACGAGTTGGAGGAGCGAGAGGGTAGGGTGAGCACATGGTAGGGCTGCGGGTGGCGTCTCAGGGCTGGGTCGGTCATCGTAGGTGGTGGCCGAGGTCATGGCCGTCGAGTGGCCCGAGGACGAGAGGGCGTCGGCGTTGACAATGGAAGAGGCCGAGAGCAACGTGTGCAGGAGGTCATCGTCGCCCGAGTCTTCTGAGCTTATAGAGGCAGCGAGGGGACGTTGTGGATATGCCGCCCGACCTGGCTGGGTGGTGGCGTCATTGGCAGTGAAGGCGACGCCCTTTGCTCTGCCCTGGGCGCCCGGCAGCCCCGTCGTCTTGGTCCTGGCGGATGTGGTCGTGGTGGTGGTCGAGGGAGCGGAGCTGTGGAGGTGGTCGGGCATACCCACCATGGTAGGCCCCGTTGCAGCGTGCCTAGGCCGACAATGGAGGAGGGGGTGGTGAGGAGCAGTCGAGGGGTATGGTGGCAGGGCTGGGGTCAAGTAGGCCTGGGAGCCATGGTCGGCCTCGATGTCTGCGTCGGTCGTTGGTGGTCGCAGGCACAGGCGAGGAGACTAGCAATGGCAAAAGCAAGTTGCGAGCATGGCGATTATCAGCAGGGCCGGACGGGGGAGGTCGGCCGATGTCTATCAAGTTGTGTTTGTGTGCATGTGTATGGCTGCAGCAGCCAGCCATGTCGGTCGGAGGTCACGTTGCTGCATTCAGGCTGGCTGCCCGTGGCCGATCTGCCGCCAGCACGCTAATGCCAACACGTCTTGTGTGATGCCGGCGGCGTGTGCTATTTACAGCAACACAGGTGCCCCGTTGGTGGGCGTAAACTCGTATCTTTCCACATGGCGCACAATCTGGGTCGCTTCTGACCGCCACCGCTGCTGCACATTGCATACATACTGACCGACGACCAGATGACAAACGGCGCATCCTTCTTCATACTTGCACGCTGGCAGCGCTCCAGCCAGCTCACACGCGCCCCTGTGACGATATGCTGCAACTGCAACTGCAACTGCAACTACAACCCCCGGCCTGAGAGCTCGCCTGTCCTGTCCGTCTGGTCGTGGACCGCTCTTCGGACCCCGCCTAAACCTGAAGCTATCCACCAACCCCCCTACGCTTGCAGCTGGAAACGCGGGACAGGCCTGGCCTTCCATGCTCTGCCATAGGATCCCTCGGAATCCTCGCCGCCACAAGACCTGCCGCTAGTTCCGTAAGCTTTTCTGCCTGCAGCTGTGTGACTTTGTTGCTCATGCATACCAGCGTCCTGCCTATGCCCTTTGCTGTGCATGCTGCAAACGAGGCCCCCCGATACGCTGTATACGCTCTATTGTACGTGTGTATGCTACGCTATGCTACGCTATGCTGCCCTCCTCCCCTAGGGCTGCCCCATCAGTTGTGTCCTCGTGTTTCATTGTCAGCCGCAGCTAACTAATCATCTGTAACCCCGCCTAGCCCCAAAGGGCAACAATCTGGAAGACCCACTGAACTATATCAAACGCCAAACTCCAACCATCAATCCATGCACCACCACATGCATCATTCTATGCACCTCCCCAACTCGCTCCTCCCCCTCCAATCCCCGTGCTGCCAAGATTGGCACTGTATCGCCGGAACCCGATGCCCATACCGATAGGCACTGACGATCGTCTTCGGACTGCCCGTCTCCTGCTCTGTGAATGACTTCTCGCCGGCTCCAGCCCATGCCCCACCCATCTTTGTTCCCCATGCTCTCCTCCCCCATCCTCATCGTCCGATGCTATCCCAAAGCTCGATCGTGTCGTCGTGAGGCTCAGCAGGTTCGGCGGTTCGCCCAGATCCCCAAACTCCGACTCGGACTGCACTGCATCGTCGCGGTCCTGTAGCCCCGACGCCCTCCCATCCTCTACCCCACATTCCTCTTCCTCTTGCACAACAACCTCGACGGTATTCTCCTCATCATCAATGTCGGAATCATCACCAAACCCCTCTCCTTCCACTAGCCATAATGTCGGAATACACGCAGCAAATGCAATCATAGATAACGTCCAAAAAGGCACAATCACATAGCCGCGTTTGACGCCCCACGTGAATAGTCCGCCTGCCAGCGTCGGCCCGGCTGCTCTGCCAACAGCACTGAAGCTTGTAGCCAGCCCGTTGATCGTTCCCAATACGCGTAGACTCGGCGCGCTATTCGTGAGCATGATGGTGCTCGTCGGGAATGCAAATGTACCCGCGACCCCTCTAACCACCAACAGCAATACCATGGCAATCTGCCGCGAAATCGGGTCCTGAATAAGCGACAAAAATGGCGTCACAAAGAACACCAACGGGAACATGATGAAGGCGATGCGGAGACAACGGAGCACTCCAAGACGGCGAGCAACGGGTGGAAAGAGCAGAAATTGGCATACTGTGCTCGTAATGGCAAAGAGGGTAAAGATGAGGCCAATCCGGCGCGACTCGAGACCAAATCCCCCTGCAAACTTGAGCGGGAGCGAGACTGCGGGATCAGAATCGAGCTGGACAGGGTGATGCATAAATACGGGAAGCAGCTATAGGTGGTTAGCAGTGGTAGACCGACTTGTAAAATGAACTTACCTGATCGTATGCTTGACAGTACAGGGCTAGCAGTGTGTATACAACCAAGTTCATTGATGTTTGAAACGTCAGAGCATCTCGAACTGAGGGCGTCTTCTCCTTGGTGTTCTGTTTCTTCACACGAGGCGAAGCAGCTGCTTCAGCGTCTACTGCCTTTTGCCGGCTGAGAAGAGGTTCATTCTCGCCATCCAGACCCTTTCCCTCCGTCTTCAAATGCAGCAGTTTCCGGACAAAACATGTTAGTTTGGCGCCAACCCTCAGTCCTAGATCAGGCTCGTGCTTCTTGCTCTCCAGCGTTTCCCGGAGAAACAACCAGCCAACAACAATTCCTACGGTGAAGAACATGGCGGCGGCAATGTTTGGCAAAACGTAGGGAAACCTTTCCAGAAATGCGGTACCTCGTGGTTTCCGCGGATCCACGCCCAGCGGATTTGCAAGCGCACCACCGAGAGTCGGTCCAAACGTCGCGCCTACAGTCCACACGAGGGGCATCACACTGAAAGCCCTAGGCTGCAGCTCTTTCCACGGACACAGCTCCGCCACGGTCGTTCGCAGGATACCGACATTTCCATTCGACAGACCCCCCAGAGCGCGCGCCACCAACGCCATGGGCAGATTGACGGAAAAGCCCCATAGCAGCATCGTCCACATGGTATTGAACAGGCCAAACAGTATAATTGGTTTTCTGCCATAGCGATCCGATGCCGCGCCCCAGAACAGGCCCGTAAACGCCTGGCAGAGGGAGAATATCGACGAGGAAATACCAGCCCAGCGCGCAATGTCGTTTTTGGGGATTCCAAAGGATTCCATGAGTTCAGGGACGTACGGGAAGACCGAAGTCAAGGCTATAGGTTCGGCAAAGCGGCATATTGCTATAAACACACACACACACACACAAGGTTAGCGACAAAGCACGCAGTTAATTGGGGGAGCGCATGCAGTAATGAAAAACGTACATAGAATGACCAGTTGATTAACTGGTAGCCGATGTTCTGTCATGACGGCGGTGACTGCGGTGTTTGCATGCTATTGCTCCGCTACTAGCTATCTAGATAGCTAAATCTCCCAGCAAGCAAAGTAGAGCGACCGACCAACCGAAACAGAGACAGAGCGCGCGCAAAAAAAAAGAAGGAGGAGAAGAAGGCTGGGTAAATAAGAAGAGAGAGAGAGAGAGAGAGAGGTAACAGTCACATTGCCCAAACATGGAGAATGCGCAAGGTCGCATTTGGTCTTGAGTCGGCCGCTGCCGCCGCCCGCTTGTCGTCCCCATGACCCATAACCACGAGTGGCTTAGTCCCGCCGTCATTGCGGGGTGCAAACGTTTTGACAGGGCGCCTATCTGACGGTGTGAGAAAAGGATCGAGTCACCCACACACACACACACACATCGCCGTTGTCGCTTGCTAATGTGCCCTTTTTATCATTCCGAATTCCGATCGGACTAAGATGATAGATTATGTCGCACACACACCCACACACACACATATGTCTCGTATTGTATCTATTCTCTTTTTGCTTTGTCGCGTGATTTGCGGGTTGCGGGTATTTGAATGCGCATTGCTGCTTCATCGGGGTTCACAAGTGGTTGGGGGCTGGGCTACTACTATTGCCGGAGGCCAAATGCGCCGCGCGTGTTTGAATGGAACCGAACCGCGCCAGGGTTCAGGTACCTGTTTTTTGGTGTGGCGGAGAAGACAACTCCACTTTGTGCTGCTTTTTTTTGGGTTTTCTCCACTTTGCGCATTTGCTTATCCGGTGCTTGTAGCACGCAAGCAACAAGCACAAGCGCTTTGCCGTATCGGAATAGCCGGTGATTCGTTCTTTTTTGAACGTTTAGCGATGTAAGCGGTGAGGAAGAATAGAGTTTCTCGTTAAGGGATATGGGTGGTTGTGATAGGGTGGAATGCCTACCTTTAGCTGAGCATGTGAACATGTCTACATGTGATTGAATAGTTCGCAGGTAATATTACAGCAAGAGAGGCTAACATCCTAATTGGGCATTCTTCGCGCAAACTCATGTCTTGGTAGCCTAGATTTGTTACACGGGCCAATCAGCGCATGTCCCTTTTACTGTTCTTACAAAAACATGCTCTAGAAAGCTACATGGTAATAGTGTTACTTGTGTCACCCCGCTTAACATCATGCCCGTGTCTCTCTCACTACGGACTCTACCTTGTACGGTTTACCCTTTTCTCTTAGGTTGTCCTTTACTTTGACTGCCTTCTGAGTGATACTCTGCCTACTTGAGTCTAGCACTAGTTACAATTACTTCTTTCCTTCTCCACAATCTGATAGTGCTTTCCATAGCTCGTCCATTCTTCTCTCTACAGGCCACATATAATCTTGCTTTCTCAGCCAAATCATACCGGTATCTACACTTCTTTTCCAAAGCTCAATCAAAATTTATGCATCTAACTCGTCACAGTCAACGTTCTGGCCATGGATATCCCTACGACTACAGCTTCAGAAGCACCGCATGAGTCGGTCTGCAAGACTGAAACTACACCAACATCATCATATCATGAAACTGGCCGTACCCGCGCAAACGAAGGCGAAGCTGGCGAAAAGTCCAATCACACAGCCTCCAAAGACCCGAAGCAAAACGTGCCCCAGAAACAGGCCACGAAGAAATTCTGCACCTTTGCTGTGAACAATGGTCTCACTGGCTCACCCGGACTCCCACCAGAGTTACGTTTGATGGTCTACAAAGCCGCGTTCCCCGAAATGGGCCCATCCATTGTTTACGAAAAACCCGATGGATACGCAAAAAACAAACTAGTCTTCATTGGGCCTGTGGGCCATTGCGATCATCAATCACACCTTCTCAAAGATCTAATCTATGAAGACAACGTGTGCGCACGTTGCAGACACTCACCTCCCAAAAACCATCGAATTCAAGCGGTACTGGGGAGTAACTTCGCGCGTGATCCCGCCACTCGTTCAGAGTTTCTCACGGAGTACGTACGCCAGGTCCAGTTTTGTTGCAAACCACGTTATCATTACCATCATGACAGAGATCACCGAGATCTACAGCAATTTTTGTCCATACTTGCTGCGTCAAATCTCATTGGATCATTCAGATACCTCACCATTCTAGTCCCTTGGAATCAAATAATGGCCGTGTACAAACCCCGTCCGAAACTTGACGCCATTCATATTGCTTATATTCTTACCATCTTATATCGCTACAAGCTAAAGTGCGAACTGACATTCTACCATTATAATACACGGATCCTCAGGCGGTTACTCGATCATATAGTGGAGATAGGCCAAACGAATCCTTTACGCACTGGAATTGGCAACAGCGATCAAGGCTCCAGATCAAATTTTGCTGATTTCTTGATGGCAAGTTGGGATTTTGCTAGTCAAGACAAAGTATTAGATAAATTGAGCAGGCGTTTGACAAGAGAAGTTAAAAGAACGCAGACGGCGAAAGCAGAAAATAAATACGATGTACTAAAGTATCCTATCGACTTTAGCAAGTGAGCGATCTATGGCAAGCAAGGTGGATTTTGGGTATATCAAACGGCCTACTTTCTTCATAAAATCTAGCATGTCAAGTTCTGGGAGCTGGTCTCATACGCACATGCTGCTATTGGTATAGGCTGGATATTCTGGAGGACAACGGCAGGCGTTTAGGGCAATCTGTTCATGGTTATATTTCTTACGATCAATATCTTATACGTATAGAGCTCTCTGTCAGACATGCAATCCCTAGAAGACCAAGGAAGTGTGTGTACATGGGTTGTGAGCGCAAGTTAAAATAAATTTACGCCAAACCATCACTAGAAACGAACACTACGAGTTGCGACGTGTCAAAAGTCAATTGTATGCGCCAATCACAACAAACAGGGACCTGATGGCCATCATGCCTCGTGTCTGAGGCGGCTATTGATTCGCTTAGGAAACACGCTACAGCAAGTGACATTGAGTGACATCATCAACGTAACCCAGCCAGCATGTTAGCAACATGGCTTTCCAACAACAACAACACATCAGTGCCCTGGACCGGATGACACCGGAAACAGAACCTAGTAGCTCGGGGCGACAGTACAAAGGTAATTGATCTGGACCACCGACTATGAGCTCGTTCTGGCAGCCACTTGACGACCACGACGACTCGGACGAATCAATCATGACAGATCCACTGGAAGAGCTACAGAGCCCGCGGAAGGCGAGAGACGACTTCATCAAGTATATGAAAAATGAGGTGTTCAGATTGAACTTTTATCGAGCGCACATGCTGTACTTTATTATCGTCATCTTCGTCTCCTCGCTTGTTGTGTATGGCCAAGGTCGTGCCGATGGACCGAAAGAACTGGGTAGTGCCCATATGACGTATACAGATGCATTGTTCCTATGCTGTAGTGCCATGACTACAACAGGTAGGCCATGCCATCAGATCAATTGTATTCACCGACTAACGGCAAGATAGGTCTCAATCCGGTCGATCTCGGCCCACTATCTGGCTACCAACAAGCCACCTTTGCCATTCTCATGATGGTCGGCAACATACCATTTGTCTCCGCAGCCGTAGTCTTGATCAGACGAACTCTGTTCCGCAAGAAACTAGCAGATGTCGTAAAGCACTCGCACACAATGCAACGATTAGTTCAAGATATCGAACAAAATTACCAATCGGATCAGGCTGAAAACAGCGGTAGTAATAGCAACAGAGGCCTACGACAAAGGTCCACAGTATCTCAAAGCCATCAAGCCCAAGGCAAACAATCCCACAATGAGACCCCATCCAAAGTGAACACCAAGCCTGCACCTCGTCAACGCAGCTACCACTACGAAACAGGCTTCGGCTTCATCCCCACACCCTGGGAAACACAATTCGCACAGAATCTCTTCCGCCGCTTCATCGACTTCTTCGCCACAGAACTAAAACCAGAGCAGCACGACTACATATCCTTTAAACCGCATTTGGATTCCAGGGGCCGCTTCCGCGATCTCAGCGAGGCAGATCGCATGGAACTCGGAGGCGTCGAGTACCGCGCTTTACAAGCTCTACTCCTGATTCTCGTCGGCTACCAACTCTTCTGGTATCTCCTCGGCATCACCTTCCTCCTCCCTTATGCATATCGAGAGAATATCAAAAACGTGCTATACACCGCCCAACCCGAGGGCATCAATCCAGGCTGGTGGGGCTTCTTCGCCACAGTCACTGAGTTTGCAAATGGTGGTCTGAACATATTGAACGCAAACTTTATCCCCTTCAGCGGCTACCCCTATGTCCTGCTCGTCTCTGTGACTGTCGCTTTCGCGGGCCAAACGCAGTTTCCGATTTTTCTTCGCGTCACGATTTGGGGACTCAAGAAGATGGCGCCCAGGCAGTCACGGTTCAGGAATACAATGGAGTTTTTGCTGCAGCATCCCAGACGCTGCTTCATCTATCTTTTTCCGGCGCGTGAGACGCTGTATTTATTCGTCACGCAGTTTGTTATTGATGTCACTGCGTGGCTTTGCTTTGAGATTCTCAATATCGGGATGCCGGATGTTGAGGCTCTGTCGACTGGGACACGAATTCTGGATGGACTCTTTCAAGCCAGTGGACTCAGGACCAGTGGAGCGTACATCATCTCTTTGAGTTCTCTTGCTCCAGCGTGTCTGGTTGCGTACCTCGTCATCATGTGAGTTTTGCTTGCAAATACGAATGTATGATATTTATAGATTATGCTAACGTTTATTCCTTTGTTTGATTAGGTACATTTCGATTTATCCAATGACGCTGACACTGAGGAAGACGAACACGTATGAGGAAAGATCAATTGGACTGGAAGAGAGTGATAATAGTGCTACTGGTGTAGCTTCACACTTGCAGAAACAACTAGCCTACGACATCTGGTTCCAATTCCTCGTCTTCTTCCTCATCTGCTGCATCGAAAGACGTCATATCCTGAATGCCGATCCTGGCTTCAGCATCTTTTCCATACTCTTCGAAGTCACATCAGCATATGGCACCGTCGGCCTGAGTCTCGGTGTGCCCGGTAAAAACTACAGCCTCTGCGGCGACTTTGCCAGCTTAAGCAAAGTCGTGTTGCTATTTGCAATGCTTCGCGGTCGCCATCGAGGTCTGCCTTTTGCAATTGACCGAAGTATATTATTACCAGGTGAAGAGCTCATGCACCGCATGGACCAGGAGTACAGTGCCAAAGGTACCGAGGACCCGCGACAGGAAGCTGAGCTGAGAAAAGATATTGAGCGGAGCGGTGTGAAGACGTTGGACAACAAAGGAAAGGGGGAGCAAGACCCTGAGGACAGGAGACGCTCGCAACCGATCAACCACACTGCTTGCGAATCGTCGTCGTCGGCGACGGTACAAGCAGAGTCAGATCCTTGATGATGATGACGACCACTTGAACATGCTCAGCCACCTTGGGTTTTGTTGCGGCATTACTATCGGTCTAAAATCACACCGTGCGGTACCGACAACGAGCATATAGTGTATTGGATTCGGGCAACGCAGCTCCGTGACACACAGTCCTAGCGAGTCTCCTTATTCAGCAGCCCACACGTCCCCCCGTCCCCCCGCCCATGCCTTGCATGCATACCGTGGACGGGCAACTCTGATTGCTACGTACGTGCAAAACACGTCACGGATTGTCGGTCCTCTTTCCCTAACGCTTTGGTCGACTGCAATTCTTCCCCAAGCAAGTAAAATCAATCGGATATGACCGAAGAACGCCACACAGCACAGCAACATGCGTGGTAAGATGACTTAATGGGGGTGAACCTGTACTTTGTTCATGCAAAAAAAAAAAATGGGCGCGCGGAGTCATCAGCCTTACAAGGCTTGCAATCCATCGCGCGCGTACGTAGTTAGCAACGAACATTTATGCGCCTTGTAGCCCGTGCAAAAGAAAAGCAAAAGAAAACAAGCGTGTCCCCGTCTCCACTTGATGTCCTTCCAACCCCAGTTCGCATAAACGCCGCTTAAAGCGCTCAGACCCTGAATCTCCACATGGACGCCCGACACGTCGAGTCGCAGGGCGGGCGACACCAAAGGGACCCGACAAAGACGCAAGGACTGCCGGAGTGCAGATCCGCATCCAGACTTGGTAGATGCGCCGGGGCGCAAGGGACATGGGAATTGACTCGTTGGAGTGGGAGGATCAAGGGGGATCAAGGAGGATCGGAGTTCGATGGAAACGGTGTCCTGGTTACAGGGAACAAGTGACAGCCACATTGATGGGCCTGGGAAATTGGCTTTCCCGTAGGTAATCCGCCGTATCAGCGAGTCAGATTTTGGAGGGGGGGGGACCAGCCTGTGGCGTTTGGGGATGTGCGTTGGGCAATGACATCGGGGGTGAGGGAGCAGCGGACGGGAGATGTGCACGATGGTTCGGTAAGCCGAAAATGAGGTGGCTTTTTTGGACAGGGGGGTGCCGGGGAGGCGTCAGTGTGTTTGGTCGAAAAGAACACCATGCCTCCTTCTAGAATGGAAACACACCACGCATACCACCCACGCTGACGCCATGGGCCATGGAAAAGGAGGCAGCCTTCTAGATGGTCGATACGAGAAAGACAGATAGACGCATGAAATGCGATCGTATACCCAATCTTGCGGACCCTTGATTCCTTCTCATCGAATGCGCAGCATGTGGAAAATTCCAAATCCAAGACGGAATGACCGAATGCAGCGAGGAAGCAAATAATCCACCGAGAAAACCTCCTCTTCCACGTTTTCCCAATCTGTGTGGACCCTCCTCTTCCGCTTCTCTTTTTTGCTCACCGGAAGTACCAGGAGCAGGGCAACCGAGGACAAGCACGACGCCCCAGAAAATCCAGAATACTACCTTGACGTAGCAATCTATCGCTGGCGCAACGATAGAAGTAGTAGGGTAACCTGACGTTAGCGGGTTATAGTAATCGATTAGGGCACGGCACTGCCTCTGTTCATACCGAGCGATCAGCATGCCTAATTACCTGAAACGGTTCACAAATCCCCCCTTCCCGCAAGGGGACATGGTAAGTACATAGTCGACGGCACAAAAATCGTACGATTTTTCGAGATTTTTTGGTGATTTATTGGGCTCTAGTGAGTACCCGCCTTCCGATAACGGTGAATTCCGTCTCGCGTCTGCGGGAAATGCGGGGAATGGCATAGTGCGTGCCGAGAGATGTGGATGGAAAGAGGACGGAAAGGCCGTTTATGGATGTGTGGGTTGTTGACCCTGAGGCTGAAGGGTACGGTGAACCTCGGTAAGTATTGTTCTGGAAGTTTGAATAGGAAGGCAGAATACCATGTTTACTATGAACTCGTATTCCGGTGGCGATTGTTTTTGTGCGCGAGTAAAGGCGGGGCGAGGAGGAACTGGTGCGGTGGTAAATGTTTCATGGCCATTTTGTATACTTGGCTCGCGCGCGACGAAGGATTGTTTTGGTGTCGCTATTTTGATAGGTTTCTCCACTTTGTTCGTATGCAGTGGATGTGTGTAGATGAGGGAAGGATGCGATGCCGCTGTGCAGTATCGCATAGTACCCGTTGCAAGTCAGGAACATAGCGTGTATCAAACAGTATGTCAAGAAACCCCCACACGGTACTGCGGGAGGACAGGCGAAGAAACCCGACCATCGTCAGCCCAGCAAATTAAGCCCTCACGAGTCCCCAAGCTACACTGGCGATAGCCGTTGCGGGATTGCGGGGAGGGTAGAGGCGGATACATGGATGCGAAGCAATTTGTGTTTGGCATCGTTTGGAACAAGTTGTGCGGGGCGTGGACCCCCATCTCATTGTACTTGAAACATTTTGAGCCAAACGGTGCGTTCGGCGCTATCTGGTTCTTTTCGCCCGACACGCGCGCGCGCAAACAGTTGCAGTAGCGCCAGCAGAGTACGAGAAGCGGAGGGTTTCAGTGAAGCAAGTGGGTGGGCGAGAAGAATGGTGTTGAACAGTGATGGTGTTTTGCGGTTGAGGAGGAAAGGAGGAAAGGAGGAAAGCAGAGGCAAGAGGGGTTTGTGAGGAGGAAGGTGGGGGAGCAAGTGCAACGGAGTGCCGAGATGAACCGGCCATGTCGTTGTGGCTGCCGCTTGTTTGTTTGAACTTTATTTTGGTTGTTCTTGCCCTTTTCGGTGGCTGGTGTGCTTGCGCCCCATGCACTGCGGAACTCAGGAAATGAAAACATCTGCACCCAAGTGAATGCCCCGGCACGCGGGGAATAACCTGGGGGAAGGAAAGGCGAGAGCCGGAAAAGAAACTAGGGCCGTTGTTGACTCCTGCAGGACGGGAGGGGCATTAGTTGTTTTGATGTTTGATAGACATGTCCTGTACTTTTTCGGAGATTAAATTGTTTGCAGTGTGATTGCTTTCAATGAAACAGATAGAGGCAAAAGTAAAGAAATATCAAGATACGGAAATGCGGAGGAACGGCACGGGGGATAAGGCACGTGTGCACGGCCAACCTACCGCGTTCCCGGTGATTGGGATTTTCTTTTTGATTGTTCTTGATTGTTTACTTGACAATGCTTGTTTGGGAAAGAGCTAAGAGATGGGATACATAGCCGCCGAGGATGCATCGCAACCGCTGATGGAGATGGAAAAGAGACAAGAAGCTGGGCGATGACAGATGCGTAGTAGTAGGAACTTTGCGCAATAACAAGCATGTCTGCTTCCCATTGCGGTTTGGCGATTTACCCCACCTTTGGTTTTGTGCAACATGGGGTTATGCACGACACGTGCATTTTGTTGAACGCGAATGCGAACAAGTAATTTTGCGATGCAAGCAAGCGCCGATAATATCACAACCTACTATAAGTCTTACCCACTTGCAACTTCAAAACTGCACCCAAAGGATTAATGACAGGTTCACAAATCCGCAATGTCGAGCATGGCGGCTGGCAAAATGTCAAGCGCTAGTACTAGTAGTAGTCCCGAACACCTGTTACAACATTCTCGCTTAACGCCCTCGAAATAACAAGGTATGGGGCTTAAGCGAAATTATCAGGGTGACTACAGTCCAATATCGCAAACAATGCTAGATGATAATATATCTCCTACACTCACAATCAAGACAATGTGGTTTTAGCGCCACAGGTTCACAGCAAGTGGAGAAGGCGTTCATATGGAAACATGTGTTCTAGACCTAGGGTTTGCGCCACATGTCTGGACCCTACATAGCTATCTGACGCTATATCCACAATTGTAAAAAAGACGAGACAGTTGCAACGCCAGAACACCCGCTCTATCCAGTAGCCAATAAGCTACCCTTGCAATAAAAGACGAGGAAAAGTGGAAAACAGTGACAAATTCCAGAGACGTGAATGGAAGAAGCTCCGCCCCAGCCAGACCAAAGCGAAACGCGTGCAGTGTCATATCAGAAGATCGCATATACCATGCCATGCCAAGTTCAACTGAGTCGTAGAGGAAGAAAAAAAACGCATTGATTGAATGAAGAATTAATGAAAGTAAAGAATTGAAAGCCATGCTAACCCATAATATGCATATTCCCAATGTGCCTAAATGCCAAACATGTGTTTTTATCGTGTACAGGAAACGTAAAGGCAGTAAACCAATCTAGTTCCTGTCGTCGTTGAGCAGGCTAGCAATGGGCATGTTATCCCTTGGGGCAGAGCTCCAAGACCTTGGGCGACCAGAAGAGGGGACTGGCATGGGGAGGACATATGGCATGCGCTCCGGGACAGAGATAGCGCTAGCGTTGTTTTGGCTCATGGGGCTGTAGTGCTTGGCTGGCTCGCTCTGGGCAGGGGAAGCATAGGACTGGAAAGGAGCAGGCTTGAAGACGGGGTTGTGCATGATGGTACCGTCAGGCGAGGCATCGGGTGTAGGAGGGCGAACGGCGTTGGAGCCGCTGCGCCAGATCTCCTCGAGCTGGGCAGGGGAGACATCCGCACCGTAGTCAGCAGCAACAGTGGCCCAGAATTGCTGGCGGCGAGCCTCGTAGATGGAGCGAAGGCGATCGGTATCGACAACCTTTGGCTGGTGAGCAACCTCGGTGTTAATGCGGAGACCATTGTATGGCTCAGGCGAACCACAGGGGGTAAGAGTGCGAGGCTTGGGGAGGAGAATCTTGTGCTGCGAGCGGCCGGGAGAGTTGGATACCGAGCCAGCACGGACATGAGGGCTGCCCGTGTAGCTCATAGGAGAGCTGTGACGAGACGACTGCGAGTAGGCATCCTGTTCGGCGACCATGCCATAGGCAGCAGAAGTTCCGGTAGAGCTGCACGAGGTGGTCGAGGAGACAGAGTTGTTGCGCTTGCGGCGGTGGCTACCGTGAGAGAGCTGGTGGTAGTGGAGGCGGCAGGCGAGCTCAGTCTTCTTGAGGTGTGCTGCAATGTGCTTGTAAGGCATCTTTTGCATACGGGTCTGGAGGAGGTAGTTTTCCTATCTGATGTTAGAAACGGGGGAAACTTGATAAGCATGAACAAGAAACTCACCTCTTCTTCGGACCAGGACCTGTTTCCACCGGCCGACATCTTGCGAGCACGAAGGCTGGAAGAATCGGTAGGGGACTGCGAGTTCATCTCTGGGAGAGGAGAGAGAATCTGGGGCTGGTGGTGAAGCATGGTTGATAGTTGAAGCGTGTAGTAGTAGCTGAGTTGGCAAGATGATTGTGCTTTTGTAAAAGTCGTGCCGAGTCGTTTTGTTTTGAATAAAGAAGTCTGTTCGCGGTTGATCGAGTCTAGCTCTGAAAAAGAAGGTATTATGCGGTAAGGACAAGTAGATTGCACAGCAATGTTGATTAAGTGAATGTAGGGCAGCCCAAACCAGTGGGGATGTAAAAGAGAGTATTACAAGGCTGCTAAGAAAACAAAAGACTGATTGCCGATTGAACAGATGCGGTTGAGGCCTCGAAACTTGGGGCAGCGGAGTAATTATAGAGTTTGGACACAGGACAGGAAACGGGCTTGTCTTGGAGGAGGCAGACCAGGCTGAGGAGGAGTGGCAGTCTCTGACATTGGCAACGTTTTCAAACCGTCGCTTCTGCTACTCGAATCTTGATCGGCGGTATGGGGCATGACGGGCGTTCGTAGCCAGAATGTTTGGAAGAACCTTGACACGAGACATGTTAAGCCGGAAGGGGAACGGACTTGTGGTCGCATTCAATGTTGATGCCTGGGGCCCTTGGGTAGGCGAGTGGGGCGCATAAGGGAGTGAGCCTCATCCGTGTTCACGGGGCGAGTTTCAAAACCGCGCGCGTCGGACTTGATGCAGTTTTGACGGAGGCAATGGTTTGACGTTGTTTGGCCCGCAGGGAAACAAGCAGCGCCCAGAGCGTCGTGACGGCGGGGGCTAACCTAGAAGACGCAGTGACAGGGTGTGTAGGGGACTGTGCCCCGGGCGGCTTCGCCAATGGCGTCGAGGGGAAACATGGGCTATGGAGGATCGGCGAGGTTTGGTGGTAATGATACGAGCCTTCTTGGCCTGCTCCATCAATTGCAGTAGTCGGACAGCAGGTCGCGAGTAAGTTTTTTTTGGGGGGGGATGCGTGGGAGATTGGGGGGCGCAGACGCAACATGGACAAGCGGTGATGACGACGCTGTGTGAGACGAGCGAAACGAGAGCAAGTTCGGGTCGAGGGGATTCCGCTGTGAGCATCAACAGATCAGGCAGGCATTTCAGGCGGAAGCACTTGGCAGCGGTGGCAGCGACAGCAGCCATGGGTCGGCGGCGTGCGACTGGCGACTGGCGGTCAGTGGCGGGGGTCGAGCCTGAGCGGTTCTCTCAAACACCTGTGGCTTGTGGTGATACTGGCGCTGCGTCAGGGCGGCTGGAGCTGACGCTTGGCTGGCATGCAGACCAGCAGAGGCGAGGCGTGGAGAGAACGATTGATGGCCTGATGGCAGCGACAGCATGTTTGAGGCAGCCTTTAATTCCCCCGCATTGCCCACTAACAGTGTGCTTGTTCATGTGCGCGAGGTGTCGCTGTTTGGTGAGGATGTGAGAATTGTCCGATGGCAGTGCCAGTGCGGACAAGACTGGGGCGGGGTAGGTAAGTAAAGTGGGTGGGTGGGTGCTCACACAGCGCAATATGTGTGTGTGTGTGTGTGTGAGTGCGCCCATGTGTGTACGTACTACTAGTATGTAAGTACAAGCGTATACCTTACTTACATGTATGTAGGCATCATGGACATACAGTACTGTACATTACATGTCCAGTGGGGAGGGGAGGGGAGGGGGGCCTTGTATGCATTGGCGACAACGACAACGACGACAACAAGAACAACAACAGCAGCAGCAGGATAACAACAGGCGACAATGTTCGGTTCTGTGTGACGCTCGCTGGCTGGCTGGCTGGTTGGGGCCCATGGGCAAGGAGCGGCCATGGTGTTGATTACCGATGAGGGCCCGGCCCATGCACGCTACCACCCCAAGCCTGCCCCGCTTCTGGCCAGCGACTTTTGTCTACCGCGCTTCCCTGTGCCCAACGTCGTAGTCGTAGTCGTAGTCGTAGTCGTCGTAGTCGTTAGTCGTTAGTCGTGATCATCGCCAACCACCACTCGCTTGCATGCGACCACGGCCTGCGCGTCACCTCCCACCCGCCAGGCCATGACTCTGCTTCACACACGACATGCACTCGCTCTGCTCTCTCTCCTGCCTCGTCTGCCCCGCCGTGTACATCCCACCCACTACTACTACTGCTGCTGCTACTCACACATACTCACCCATCGCTCCCCATTCACTCACTCACACTCACTCACTCACAGCCCGCAAGACGCCATGCCGGCAACACCATGCTGCTGCTGCTGCACCCATTAGTACTATCAAGTCGACGATGCATGCACCTCGCCTGTCACGCGCTGCCCTCACTCTCCCTCTCTCCCTCTCTCCCCCGCCCCTCGCAGCATCCATCCATCCTGCTGTCGCGGTAACATTCAATCGCCAGCCACCTGTTCATCTAAGCCTGGCCCCTAGAGCCGGCTACCCCGCTTCTTGTCTGCACCGCGTCCCCGCGTATCTGTACTTTGTCCTCCACCATGACTTCACCTACTCACATGTACCCCCTACCCACCTGCCCCCCCAGCGCCGCCGCCAACCCCCGCTAGCATCTGCCCACTCAACCTCACTGCCTCTGTCTCGTCCTCCACCATGCTGCCACTGCCCCCCTCTCATTCGCCAGCCTCCTGCCAACCTGACCTCCTTTGTATTCCTTGTACTTGATCAGCGCTCGCTCCTGCAGCCGACCGCCCTACTTGGATATCATGATGCTTTGCTGCCTTTACTCTGGCCGTCGTACTCTTTGAAGGCAGTTCTCCAAGCTGTAATATACCGGCATGACACTGCTCGACATAGCCTCTCCTCGCGCTCTCCAGTGAAGCTGTCTCGTGTCGCACCCCTCCCTCGAGCCTGGCTAACCTCTTATCCTCGTCGAGTTTCGTCACTTCCCGTCTGCCGCCATGTCGTGAGTCTCTCCAGCTGCCTTTGCCCTGCCCTGGCCCCGGCCGCAAGACCTTTTTTGCCATTGCATTCTTGCTTTGACGTTTGCTCTTTTTTTGCCGCGCATGCTGACGTCGTGGCTCCCGACAGCTCCCCGCCCTCCACCAAGCGCAGCTTGAAGCCATCGCCAATGACCTCCAACCCACCCCCGACGGCTCGTCCTGCTGCACCTGCCGACCTGCCCACTCTACACCCAGCTACCTCGTTGACTGCCCCGGCTCAAGACACCCATCTCGGCCCTCAGCAGCCACTTCCTTCTCCCACCAGCCGGAAGCGCAAGTCGGTCACACTCGGACACTCGCATGAGCCCATGGCCGGTGCGACAGAGAGCAGCGTAGAAGCCCACGCAACCAGTGCAGCATTACCCCCGCCCCCTCAACCAGACGCTGTCCAGGAACCAAAGGCCAAAAAGAGTCGTACCAACACACCATGGACCCCAGCCGAAGAATTGCGACTCAAGCAAATGCGAGATGCGGGCAACAGCTGGAGTGAGATTGCAAAGGTGCGCCCATGTCGCAGTCGCTGCTTCCCTTTTAGCTCTTCACCCCAAACACATAGCGCCTGCCAGAACGTACCAAGTAACTGATCGTGTGCCTTATAGACGTTTCCGCAGCGAACCGAAGGAAGTGTGAAGAAGCATTGGTACAAGGTAGGAAACATCGCCAGTCCCCGACCGTCGTGTTGCCCCTTTGCTGACTTTCCAGGACATGCACTACGCAGAGTTCGCAGAGGATGAAGTGAGTTGTGCACCCGCTGACATTGTCGTGCGTGTATGCTGATGAGTAAGAAGAGCGCCGCGCTGCTTGCCGCCATCAAGGAGTACGATGCCAACAAGTGGAAAGTCATTGGGCAGAAGGTCGGCAAACCTGCAAAAGTACGTTGCGGCCTGTTTCGCGTCCCCGTGGACAAGACAAGCATCGACTCTGCTGCTAACACGGACACCAGGCATGCGAGCAATACGCAAAGGAGAACTTTGGTGGCAAGTATTGAGGGACCCATGCCCACCATCCGTCTGCATGTTCCCGCTTGCTCGTACGATGCGCCAGGTTCATGACGATACTACCAGCGTTCTTCTCCTCTCAATCTAGCTCGGTCTGCACACAACCGAGGTAGCCATCCGTCCGTCCTGCTTGGTGTTTCTGCACTCTGTTTCCTGGCCAGTGGCGTACTCGAGGATTCCTTCGTCTTTGATGATTTACACAATGCTTGAGTGTTTTTCGGGACAACGTGGCCAGGTTTATTTTGGGGGGAGTTTTTTTTTGGTTCCTCTGGCTCTTCTTTCGGAAGAGGGCTCGGCAAAGGGCTTGCGAGGGGGGTTGTCCCTATCCCGGACTTAGTATCGGCTATCCTTACGTATGAATGGTCTACCCATGGCAATATGGCGTGTCAAACGTGGGGAAAGGCTTTGCAAAAAGAGGTCATCACTGCACTGCTCATTGGCCCGTCCTGATTATGTTTTTGTTTCATGTCAACGTATCGCTGGTTTTGCAAACCTGCAGCAGTTCAACCAAATGTTTCAACACCTCGCCACACTTTGAATCCTTTTGCCTGATTCCTGCAAGTTGCCGCATGCCGATCAGCGTGCTCTTATGCCGTTGTTGGTACACACGCCATACTCATAGTACAGTACACACACGGCAGCCCGCCCGTCTCTAGGTGTGCCACAAATAGCCAGCTGCGCCTTCAACAAAAAAAAAAGGTCCAATTGCTCGTGCAATCAACGGTCGTGTTGACAATCTATGTTGCAAATAGCCACGTGTAACGGGTGGCCGTTACCAGACAAAGGCTCCGGCTACACTACCGAGCCAGTTCAGTGGGTGTGCAAATGGTTGCACCCCCCAAGGCGCTTGGGGATGGGAAGACGTCCTAGTTCTCTTTTGCCTCTCTTTCGCTTGTCCTTTTTTGTTTCCTTTTGGGAACTGTAGCAGCTGCAGGTGGGCAGAGGCCCGCCGGTGTGAGTGAGCGACTGGGGGTTCAACTCAGTCGCCCACCATGTGCCGCAACTCGCAGTCGATGCCCTGCACGCGCTCCGCTCACGAGACAGGCTGGATGACATGAGGGTCGCGGATGGGGGAAAGAGTGCTGAACGAGGGCGAGGGCGAGGGTGAAGTGGGTTACATGGTGCGTCCCGTCGAGCCTATAGTTCACAAAGGCCCGCAACAGCCTAAATGGATAATGCGCCGCTGGTCGAGTACTTGACGATTGGCAGGCCATTTGCTAGGCCTGAATGTCAACAGTGAGGTCATAGCGAGGGCTGCATAGGCAGGGAGCAGGGAGGTCCCAGGCGTGGCCAGGGGTGGGGTGGGTTTGTAGAGTGCAGGCTGTGGCAGGCCCATCACGTGCATGAAGGGTGGATGTGAGAGGCGAATGCAAGGGAGCAGGAGCGTGAGCAGCGTGAGGAGTGTTGTCTTCCGGGCAAGGGCATAGCCGTCAGGCGCGCAACCCTTTGGGGGGTCCACGATGCGCCGTCAGCGCCATCCGCCCTTCATCTCATGCATGCGGTCGAGAGATGAGATGTGTGTATGCGAGGGGACTCGGGGCGGGCAGATCGCGGCCGGCCTGAGTAGCGAGCGAGCAGCGCCAAGACCGTGTTGTGCTTTCCATGTCGCTGCTGCTGTCGCTGTCGTTCCCGATACTAGCGCGCCCAGGTCCGAATCAATCGCAGCCGACGTCGACTCACCTTCTCCCCCACAACGCCTCGCTGCTGCTGCCGCCATGCTCCCAACCACCCAATCCCTCCCCCCCCAACCTCGCCGGCTACTGTCTCAGGTATACTAAGGACTAGCACTCGGCACATGAAAGCAGCACAAGAAACAACGCGAAAAAACTGTCACCGGTCACGCAGCGCCGGCCCGCTTTGCTACTGGCCGTTGGCAACTTCCGCACGCCTGCTGGCTCTCGGCAGCGTGCCCGAAATGCGTCATCTGGCGCGGGCGTCGGGGTATTCTTGTGGCTGGTACCATTTGCAGTGTACCAGTCCCATCTCACGGGGGGGTGATGAAGCGCATATAGGACAGGGTCTCAGTGTATACCTTGAAACGGCTTACGCATGAGCCAATCTGAGGCTGTCCATGCCTATGCGTTAGAGAACCATGACCAAAGGGCCCTGGCCATGGCTCGGTCCCACTGCTTACAGGCGGGTGCTACGGCAGCGTGAGTGCCGACAGAGACAAGCCCATCCTGCCTGGATCAAAGCTTCACGTTTTTGCAAAGCTCCGTCATGCTCAACGGGTTTCTGCGCTCGGCCAAGGTGCTTCCAGGCATGAAGGGGGGACCCTCAGTTGACGCACCGGCACCGGATGCCTGGACACGACCAACCATCACATCCACCACCATCCAGACTTACATGCTTTGACCATGCACATGCCATTACACACCGTTGCCCGCCTCCACCACCACCACTACCACCATGACCCTGGCAGGGCCGCTCGACGCATTCGCCCCCGAGCAGGTCCCGAGCGCTCCTCCCGCGGTCGTGGCTGCGTGTCTGCTGGGTAGACACTGTCTCATCAATCTGGCATACACCTGCTCGGTGGTGGCGCTCCCCTTTCGGCAACTGCCCACTGTGCCCCTGCCGTGTCGCTAGCCGGTTCAGAACATCCTCAATGCACATCTCCTGGCCACCACGCTGCGCCAGGATTCGTCGTGCAGACGCTGCAACGGTGCTGGAGATCTTTCTTGTGATATTCTAGAAATAAACGACATGGCATGGACCGCGCACGCCCCGGGCCCCGCTGGCCCCCGCTGGCCGGCCAAAGTACCTCATTCCCACCTCATTTTGCAACGGCAGCCACTCACCACACGAGCCAGGCAGCATTGCACTCGACGAGATCGTGTGCCAGGCCCCCCCCTTCCCCTCGCAGGCCTGGTCATTGATCACCGCATTATGCTTGACGTAGAATCAGTTCCTGGGCCTTCCCTACTAAGCTCATTTGGTCCTTCTCAGGAACAGAGCGTCTCGTGGAGAGGACCCATTACTGTACATGCTTGGAGTCTGTGTCCGTGTGGCAATCGCACAAGACGGACCGGGTTTTTGGAGGGGACATACTGCCCGACCTTGTTAATGCCTTCTGCCCTCAGGCACAAATATCATATAATCCACAGCCGTCCCCAACAATAACCTGCTATTCGTCTGTTCCCCTACAAGGCTGCAAGCTATAGCCGGCCACCCCAAAGCTTAACACACGCGATAACACTTTGTCCGATGGCGCGTTCCCCCAAGCTCTTCTTGCTCCAACATTTGTCAATATAGAAATATTGGAGATAACCCAAACGCGTGCGACACATTTCATCGCAACCACAATCCTTGACTCAAACGAGGCACTCTTTTTTTCTCTCTCTTCTCCCTTTTTTTGTCCTTTCTGGCCCAGGTCTCATATCGGCGGCCTGCCAGAGCGAGTTTGCTCTGGTAGTCTCCATGCGTATTAGCAACACTGGCGAGTCCCTATCGAGGCCCTTTCCTCGACTACAGCGTACCAGGCAACGCTGGGGAAGAGCATCATATTCCGACTTCAAGCGTCGAACATTCCAATGTCCTGCATTCTCATACCGGATTGCCTCCGGGATACCATCACTCCTTCCTGCAGCCACATCCGTCTCAGACCCTTCAACATGCCGGCACCAGCTCCCACCCTACTTACACGGACATCGAGACACACTCACTACACCCAACCCATCTTTTGCGCCATCAATCCATGTCGCAACACTCTCCATCATCCTACAATGTGGGCTATCCACCGCCCCAGCAAACCGCCGGACGCAAGCGCAGCCACCCAGACGACTTGCCGCACGATCTTACCCCAACCTTAGAGCAACAGCTCAACCCGTACGCACAAGCAACGGGAAGCGTCTCACTACAGCACGCGACTCAGAGTTATTCTATTCAACAGTATCCGCCGCCGCCACCGCCCGCTCCTCACTCCACTCTTCCTCCAACTCACCATCACCATCTACCAAGCACTCATCGCAGTAAACGACACCACGCAATGGAGGGCGCACCTCCCTCACCATCTCATCACCATGGCCCTCCTAGCGTCGTAGGCCAAGAAGGAATGCCGGCACCTGCACAACGACCCCGCGGCCCCAAACTTAAGTTCACCCCCGAAGACGACCAGTTACTCGTCGATCTCAAGGAAAAGAAGAATCTCACTTGGAAGCAAATCGCAGACTTCTTTCCTGGCCGTAGCTCGGGTACTCTCCAGGTTCGCTACTGCACCAAGCTCAAAGCCAAGACGACGGTTTGGACGTCCGAGATGGTAAGTTCCTACTCCTAGCCATGAAACACACAACGTCGTGTGTGGCAAGCACAAGCCCGGGCATGCTAACCCCAATCGGAAAAACAGGTTGACAAGCTTCGCAATGCTATGCAAGAGTACGAGAATGACCGATGGCGCATCGTCTCGTCAAAGGTCGGTAGCGGGTTCTCGCCAAACGCGTGTAGAGACAAGGCCGAAGAGCTCCAGGCTATGGAGCTTGCTCAACAAGAGGCACAAGAGGACGAACATTCACAACTTCAACAACAGCAACAGCAGCAGCAGCAGCAGCAGCAGCAGCAGCAACAACAACAGCAACCACAACCACCGCGCACATACACCCCGTCGCAAATGGGAACCGGCCCGAGTGAACCAGACGCAAGATACCATTGACTGGCCGACCATGGCTTTGGGGGCTTAACTAGTCAAGTTGAGGCCCTCCGTGCATGGTGAGAAATCCAATGGTTGGGAACACGAGGAGAAGGAGGGGGAGGTGGTTACAGGGTTTGTGCTGGTCACAAAGTCCTCTGTGTGATTTACTTCAGCATCTGCGACACACTTCTTTCGGACATGCATGCATTCTTCTTTAATTGGCAAAATATTTTCTACGACGTAACCACGATTTGGGCCATGGCATGCCTTTCTTCTTCGATTCACACACCCTGAAACTTTTCGAACATATCGGGGAGTACGTACATCTTTTCGACGCGCGATACTACAAGCGAGTCGAGCATTGCGGCGGCGTTGGGAAGACAGGATAGGTTAGGAAACACTTTACGAGGAGGATGGGATTTGAGTTGATGGCGCAGCAACTAAAGATTTGACAAACGTCCGGCGTACACCACAATTCTGGCAAGGCAGACTTGGCAACAACAGACTAGGTGTTTGAGGGTATGTCAACAACGGAGCAAGAGAAGGGAAGATACCCAGGCAATTTTGCAAGGCGCGCGTTCTCATTGGTCTTTCCCCTAATCCTTTCCTTTGTACTACACAACCAGTATCCTTTTTTGATTTTTCTATATCATGCGTTAGCTTTCCTTCTATAACCATTTATCCTTACTTTTCTTTGCGAAATTTCGCACTTTTTACTCTACATTTGGATGAATTGGGGAGGGTTTTTTTGTTCTTCAACACTCAGTATGGCACATGGTGCCACAGCATACTTTCTCATGTTTCTTTACGAAACTTCAATTCTGTAATACCCCGTTACTATATTCAGTCCTTCCAGACAGTTGCAGAGTTTACGACCCACACAACACCACTTCCAACACCAATGTTCTCATCTTGTTAGAGGTTCTGGAACGTTCGAATGCATCCTCAGTCTAGAAATGCAGTTACACGGCTCAAGATTACTCAAAATGTCGAAACATGCGCACACACAAGTCTCACATATCGCAACTTGCTACATGACGATGAACCAAGCTCACCGGGCGTCAGCATGTTCACGCCAACCGAGCCGAACCCACGTCATGTCGTGTCTAGTAACCTGGGGTCCTGCCTGTCTCATAGTATGGTTTCAGATGTTGACGTGCACAACGGCACGACGAGGTTGATCTGAGACAGCGGTAGCCGCAGCCACAATATCGTGGCCTGACGAACATGATCACGTCAGGGCCAGAACGGCAAGGAACGTAAGTTCTGTCCGTTGGCAGTAGGGGAGAGCTTAAACATGCGCATCACAAGTGGTATTATTTGCAGCTATTCTGCCTCGTCAATGTATCACACACTCAGGAATCTCGCTGTTCCGAGAGAGATTGCACGTGACGTATTCACTTAGCAACTTCCTTTCTCTCTGCAGCTTTGTCGAGTGTTCATTCCAAGGATACATCAGTTTTGCCCTAGCAACGAGGCACACGTAAGGGGTTGCGGAATCGACTGTACCACGAGCATGTATGTACATACACTTGTCCCATTGGCTCGGACACGTCGAATCGTCTAGCGCAAGCGAACCTCCAACGCGACTACCTACTACTACTTACTGCCAGCCACGATTCATCACATACGCACGCCTCATGGCTATCCCTCCCTCGTCATCGCAATCATCGCCATATACAAGTTATCCGCCCAAGCGCGATCGCGACTTTCAATACTAGCAACCCTGCGCAAACTATACCGCTTGCAGGCGGACCCTGAACCCTGCCCTTATAACGCCCAGACTAGCAATTCGGGGACCTGTCCCGCGCCCACTTCGCTACTCCTGCGCCAAACGGCTGCCGAGCAAGCGTGTGGCAAGCTCCCAAACTGGAGGAGAGTGCGATAAATCACAAAAGGCCAAGAGAAAACAATAAGAGGTGTGGTAGGTTGCGCGAAGCCGAACACGCAAGCGGGGAACAGGATGCGCGCACGAGGCGGCAAGAAGGCGCGATTACTGGGATGGTCGATTATTCGCACCGCGCAGTAGAGCTAACCAGGGTCTTCCCTTTCGTTTGCTGCGCCGGAGCAATATCAGCGGGAAGGGAATCTGTCTCCGACGTTGAAACTATTGAAGAGCTCGGATGAAGGCGCGATGGACCGGGGGACTAGGGTCCGCGTGTGTGTCATTGCTTTTTGGCGACTGGCAACGGGTTTACCCTGTTGGCAATCAATAGCCTTGCTATGTTGGATGATCAACATAAGCAGGGGGCGGCGGTGCGGAGAGATAGTGCCAAAAGGAAATACACAAAGGGAAATATGGAGTATATGCCGAAGGAAAAGAGATATGGTGACAACAACGTTGCAGGAGGAACGAAGAAGCAAAAAAAGAGAGGAGATTAATCCCCGCATCAGCCAACGAAAAGCCGTTATTACGGGTATATTTTCTTGTTTTCTCCACATCCAGCACGCTCATTTCTTGCTCTACGGGGAAGACCGCATCCACTCAATCAACCATCTTGCGCCGCAAAAAGCAAAGCGCAATCCCTCCATTCGGACCCCCCTTGTCCCTAAGGGATCGACTCGCCTCCACCCATTCTCCAATACCCGGCTTTGCCAAAATGACCCACTATCAACCACTTAGGAAAAAACCTTGTCTTAACAAACGACGATGCGGCGGAGCAGCTTACCCGTGACGGAAGGCGAACAAGACAAGAAAATGGGCAGAGTGAGGCTTGGGCGGCCCAAACAAGGTAACTGTCGACGACGACGACGACGATGACGCCTCCAACTTGTTGTCTCCAAAAAAAATCACAAGAATAGAAGCGCGATCAACGTAGCACAGATCCGCAACCCCTCGAACCAAGTGTCCATCTTCTCCGAGTATGAGATACGGTGGCGATAGGCGACAAGACTCGCAATGATGAGCAAGCAAAAAAGACTCCGATGCAGATGCCGTAACCATTCCTCCGGGCCCAAACACTCTTTTCGTTATCCTCCCCCCCTCCCGTGCTGATTTATACTCGCCAATACTTGCCTACCGATAATCATACCATGCGCTTTGATCCTCCCACCCCCTGTGCCGTTTGCACTAGCAGCTCTCGCCACTCTTCCCTTCCCTTCCTCGCCTCCGATAGGCAACCGGTACCTGTTTTTCTGCCAACAACGGGGTCTGGCAAAATCGCTAACCAGCCACATTCCCCATACATCTAACAGACTAACGGAACGGGAAAGGAAAAAGGCAAAAAAAATGCAAAGTTATTGATCATCTGCCCAACCTAACGGCTTTTAGATGGCTAGGCAATTCTTGTTTTTCCCCACTAGTATAACGGTAACGGCTACTTGGCCCCCCNCCCCCCCCCCAGACGGACGACTTTTCAGAGATGCGAGGTGAGGCATGCAGGTGGTGCCGTCAAGCCTCTGGATTAGGCAAGCACGTAATACGCCCGATGCGCGGATGGCGGGAAGGAGGGGGGTGTGGGAGAGAGATGGGGGTGTGTGCGCACACACACACTTCTCACGCCCCCCCCCTTGTCTGTGTGCACCCTTGCCTTTTGGCCCTCGCTTGCACTGGGCATCATCAGGGTGAGTGAGTGAGGGAGAGACGAATGGAGCTTGTGCCGATTGGGCTCCTGGGCGATTTGTTGGCCAGGGGTAGTAAGTGGTGCACTTGGGCGGGTGGATGGAGAGATCTGGTCGACCGAGGATGATGTATGGTCAGATTTCTTTCCTTTTCTTGACTTTTGCTTTTTGGGAAGGGATGGAAAGGAGCGGGTTGCGGAGGGGTCAAGGTGTGATTGAGGTACCTGAATGGTACGAGGCATATGCGCGTATGTTTGATAGTAGTAACAGCATAGTGAGCTTTTCATCTCTCTTCCAACCCGGCAGTTGGAGAGGTATGTTGGGGCCCTGGCGCAAGTCATGTCCATAAGCCAAAAAAAATATGTAACACACCGTTAGGTAGGTGTCGCGGGGCCAAACGAGTAAGTAAAACTCACTTTCACCGGAATGTGGGGAAAAGAAGAACAGATACTGGATGACGTGGGCAAAGAGCAAGTCAGAGGCAATGGGGGATCGCGGTAGCGAAGCCGGGTTTGTACATGGCTTTCCCAGCATGTGAAGCGTCGCTTAGCTTGTACGGTCAGTCGCTCGGTGGGAAATCATGGCAGCGTGTGCTTAGACAGGGTCTTCGTGCAGAAAATGGCGGCGTCTCAACAGATTGAGGGGTGTATGTATGTATATGTGTGTGTGTCTGTGTCTGTGTGAACTACAATCCACTTTCTTTCTCACACACACACACACATGGCACGCGCATACGGTGCTGCAAGAGGAAGCGCGCGGAGGCGGGGGCGGAAAGTCAAGTAAGCTCCCAACGTGCAGAAATTCAAGGCCGGTCCGGATGAACGATGCAAGGCACGACTTTTTTCTTCAAAGGCCCCCTGTTCCCTGTCCCTTTTTTTCTTTTGATTGCGCAAAATAAACACTATTGGTATTGTTGTTGTTCCTGGTTCCGGAGGCTAAAGCGTACACACATACATGATGTCTCGTCCTCTTTCCGGGGTGACGAAAATCGAACAAGGATTACTATCGTCCTTTTTTGGGGCTCCAAGTGTTGACATCCCGCCTCCGATGAGGCAAAACAACGTCATTATAGTTTTTTTTTTTCGCTACATACCGTTTTTACTTGACTAATGTTTCCCGATCTCAGCCCTTGCAGTTGGAGTCATGTCATGGAGCGGGAAGGGGGTGTGTGTGTGGTGATGGTTGAGTTTTAGTTTAAAACGAGGGATATATCGAACGATACTCGCATATCTCTTCCTCCACAAAAAGTGACCAAGATTGGTAAACGGACAAGCAGATCACTTTTTGCTTACCTAGCTCGGTGACTTTCGCTGCCCGTTTTCTCTTCTTCTTTGGGAGACTAGTTACTTTTTTTTAAACTACGATCGTGGCGGCAAGTTGTCATAAGATGTAATATGCATGTGATCATTGCCCTAATAACCATTTTGCCCATTGCCGGGCAAAAAAACTTAAGTTGCGGCTACGTATGAACTAATGTTCCGGTGAGCGTTTATGCCATGGGGGGTGGAGTTGTGGAGCCACCACCACCCCCCCTCCCACTGCCGAGCGCTGGACCCGGCATTGCGACGCACTAACATCCTGAAACAGAAGGGACGACTAAAAAAACCCATTATCATGAGCCTTGTGTGTACATGTACACTAATGGAGCATTTGGCCGGCCACTCCACTTTTGCTGACTACATGTGTGCCAGAAAGAAGGTTTCAACCGCTGGCCGCATATGCCCGAGGACAAAAGTAGTGAAGGTTGCTCAAAGTTTCTTTGTAAGTCCTTGTTTTGCGACCAAACTTGGTCGCGTGGTCGAGGGGGCTGAAATATAGGACTCCACCGGGCCAGTGGGCTCAGCTCTTTTTTCTCGGCCATATTTTTCTTTTTAGGGCCGGGCTACTGCTATTAGGCGAAAATGGTCTTTGCATTCAGAGACATAGCGCTTGACGTACTTGATAACTTGTTTGCACAAAAGATCAAAAATAGAGATACGGGAAGGAAGTGATGTCTGTGTTTTGAAAATATATATAATTGAAGGGGTGGTTTTCGGCCTATAGTACAGCCGATGTGTAATCTTTCCGAGATTCTATTTGAGGAAAGGTAGATAGGCAAGCAAAGTGATACAACAACCTATGTACATTGACTACAAGATTACAAGTTCTTTTTGCAAGAGTCGTGAAAAAACAGGGAATGCCAACCATATTCGTGCCTGTAGAGTTTCATCAGTCAAATGTAACTTGACATAGTCATATTTTGCGCTTTGACTGCTCGGCCATATTAAGAGACGCTCTAGACAATGACATGAGACTTGTCATTTGTGAGGCTGTGTTTGACAGCAGGGACCTTCATTTGAACAGGCTACCGACCATCAG